ATGCCAGTCAGTCAGGATAACATGACAATCAAGACCCTCACAGCAGCAGCCCTCACTACAGAACAGATGCCAGTCAGTCAGGATAACATGACAATCAAGACCCTCACAGAAGCAGCCCTCACTACAGAACAGATGCCAGTCAGTCAGGATAACATGACAATCAAGACCCTCACAGAAGCAGCCCTCATTACAGAACAGATGCCAGTCAGTCAGGATAACAGGACAATCAAGACAATCAAGACCCTTCAATACAGAACAGATGGCAGTTACTACCAAAGATATACCCTCATAACATACAGATACAGATGCCAGTCAAGTCAGATGATATTGGGCAGAGAGATGTTCTTCAGAAATGACAATTTTTTGGGCAGATACCCTGGGCCTCCACCCTCCTGGCCTGGAAACTATCCCATTCATGAATAGTATGTTTACTTCTATGATGAGTAAATTAAAATATATATGTGCAGTATTTCCCAAACATATCTAATATCAGAAAGAACTTGTTACTTTCTGTAAGTGTATGTACACTTTTAAAGATGAAATTAAATATCAAGTCAACTGCTTCATGCAAAAAGTTTATTTTAATAAGATGGAGTGACACCTAAGTGTTTCACGGTATGACAAAACACATTGTATTACAAGTATTAAAAGAACAAGTTAAATACTTGTATTAACCTCAATATTAACTCCACATAATGTGACAGTGTGGAGTGAAGAACATTGAAAATGATTTGAAAATAACAAACAACAATCAAGTACCAGTAACAGTAACAGTTGGTACAGAGACAACACTTAAGAGTAAGCTTAGGTAAATGAGTTGCTAATTTCAAGCGTGATTGCTCTCTTATTTTAGTTACAGAGATGCTTATACACTGTTATGTTGCAGGGTTCCTGTGATGATTCCTGTTGTATTTGCCACTGGGCTGCTGATGCGGTGTTCTTGTGTGAGTTGTTCCCAGGACTGGTGTGGTAGACACTTGAGTGCGGAAAGTAAGAATACTGACCGGTAGACCAGTAGGAGGCGTTTCTAGGACCGACGAGGTGAACAAATGTGTGTCGGAAGTGAGAATCTTCTGACCTCAGAGTATCAGCAGCAAAATAAAGTCTTTTATTATTGTGAATTTCTGCTTGCTTTAATAAATATGTGTCTTTAAGCTTATTGTGTTCTGTTGTGATTCAAGTCACATTTGGGGAATATCAGCACTGGCCACATGCATAGTCATTAGTGGATGCAGGGGTATATAGGTGAGACAGATTGTTGTCCCAGCCAAGATTGAGGAGATAACCTAAGGTTTAAGGACCTCACATAGGGAGCACATCGGGCCCCTTTTTGGCTGGTGTTATGACTGCTTATGGATGGCTAGGCCATGTCCTCCCAGTTTTGAGGAGGTCAGTTTTAAGCTGACCGATATTCTAGGTGTATGACAACACAAGGATATTCTAAAGTCTGTTGATCTGTTGAACATGGGTGGTTGTAAGTCCGTTTTGTACATTGGAGATGTTGTATGCACAAGCAGGGATGAAAATCTATTGTCAGTGGTAAACTTAATATTGTGTAATCGAGGGGGGGGGTTGTTAAAATAATATTGGTGGAAAATTGCCATCCCTGTACCAGGCATCTCTGCATTCTGTGAGTTGGATCATTGGCTCTTTCAGATGTGTGGTGAGAGGTGACCTGTGCCTTGTGTTGTGCTGATGATATTTACTTATGTTGTACTGACTTCTTTATGCTTTGAAGTATATAGCACACATAAGTCTCTTTGAATGGTGGAAACTTTTGAGCCCAAAAGGAGGGGGGTAGTTTTTTAGATAAGTTTGTTAAGTTGTGACACTCATGTGTGATTACCAATTGTGCCATCGTGGATTTGGTGCGGAGTATGTTTAAATAGTGCTCTGACATCACAAGCTAGGTGATAATTGTGATTCATTACCTAGACAGGTGTATGAAGGTGGGGTATGTGTGGTAAAATTGAGGCTGTAACAATTAAACCTGTTGTTCCACAAATACATAGACAGTGGGAGGGGTTGGGGAACTCCAAGATTAGATCTTGTGATTCATGCCTTGTGGGTGGACAGTGTTCACACAGATAATACACTTTATTTCAAACACTAAAAAGAAACATAAATTACACATCAGTACTGAGCCATTACTTGCTTAAAGTTAGGAAAAAGTACTTAAATAAAGTAATTTTCAAAAATACCTATTTCAAGTCAAAATGTTCAAATATTTATGGAAAGGTCTGGGAATATGGGTAGACAAGTATATCACTGAACCAATGTAAACATCAAAACAAAATTGGGTCATAATAACTTGATTACCAAAACAATATACACAGATGACTCATTCAATATTGGTAACCAATTTCACTGAGCAATTTAAGGAAATACTTGGAACCTATATAGCAAACACACTTTGACATTTGACACAATTCATTTAGATGAAACTGTATTTATTCCTGGAGGATGTATCAGTATACATGTGTAAGTACAGACTCACTGAAAGCGTTATGCAAGCAAAAAGTCAAAATTGAACTCAGCTGACTCATAATATAAATTACTCTTTGGTAACAAATTATGGACATGTATCTGAGAGTATATATGATGTAAATTCATATCAGGAAGTTAAATGTAACTTGACAATAATGGACACACCACTTTGCCATAAATAAAGTATTTTACTTTGAAATCATGTAATGATGTATCTCCTGTAAAGAATCATCCATGATAAAATTTGAGAGAAAATGGAAATACACGAACAATTACTTACTTTGCTAATTACATGTAAAAAGGCTGATTAGTATATAATACAGTACAACTTACATACCAGAAACAAATTTGAACTATGAACTATTACCAACTGTATTCAGCTAGAAAGGCAGATATATAGCACACATACAGTGCCTGTTGATGCATGATAATATATAGGAATTTTCGCAAAGTTGACTGTTGTATAGTTTTAGCTTAGTCTATTGACCCCTTCCTTTTTATGTTTTAAGAATTAAAATACAAAAAAACACACAAATTGCTAGGTTGGGGGAAAACACCATGTATAGGTCATAGTTTGTCTAAGCTATACCCTGGCTACTGTAAACTAGTAATGTACAGACCAGTAAAACAACTGTCAAATATGCTAGACTTAATATCTTACTCTTGCCTTTGTTCATGTGCCTTCATGAATGAACATATATGTCAGTAAATTGTTTTAATTTAAAGACAATATAACATACTTATGACAATTATGAAGGAATTATTTTCACAGTTGTGAGAAACAGTTTGAAACACCCTACCCTAACAATATGCTGTGCAATCCTGAAATGAAACAGAGGTTTACCATCCAGGGCTCCAGATAAGGGCCGTATTGGCGTATGTACGGATAAAAAATAATATGCATGATACGGTAGGAAGTCATTTAGAAAACGTAGCAGTTACGCACCACCAATGGTTTACGGTCTTTGACATAGTTATCTGAAAAAGTATTGTTTTATTGGGTTTTTTTACCTGTTTACACAGGAGTAGCAATGTTGTGGTGCATATATGAAACGAAACACAAGATACTGACACTCCATTAAATTCCATTCATTACTCAAAATGTACTTATTGTTTTCCAGTACTCCTATTTAAAAAAAAAAGGAGTATGTACACCTGATGTTGAAAAATTATCTGGAGCCTTGCCATGAATTGGCAAATAATTACAACAGTATGAGTTAAAAGCAGATATTAAAAGGAGCCATTTTCTGTACGGCACAAAGGCAAGTACATAAAAAAACGTTTCATATTGTAGCATCATATAACATTGCTAATTATAAGCAAAACCTAAATGAATGAGTTCATATATTATTTGGAATTATTCCAATATCAATATTAAAGGTATCAACGTTTAATGTTTAGGATCAATTTGTTTGAAGATAAACATTTTAAAACATCTTAAAAGTACTTGTGATCCCTTAATGAACAACAGGTAAATGTAGAGTAAGTGCATAGAAATTATTGTATGTTATGATTATGCAAGGTAGAGTGCACAGATAATAATCCAATGACAAGGCCAATATGATGAACAACAGAGTAGCCATTTAAGTATGATGGATGTGTAGTGACCGGTGTATAGAACTTTGCTCACAGGAACTTTGCCTACAAGGAACTTTGCCCACCACAATTTTTAAAAAGGGACTTTGCCCACCATGATAATACCACATTGTATAAAATAAGTATGTATCATTTTATTGAATTACACAGAAACAGCAGATAATATGGCACATTGGTGGAGTAAAAAATCCAACATATCATGAGCAGGATATTAAGGTGAATGAGTGGCAAGGTAAGAATTAATTGTAACTTGAATAAAAATACTAAAAGTTAAAGTAAAAGCAACGAAGAAGCTTTGATGAAAGCTTTGATGAAGTGCAATTAATGTTTGATCTCTTTTGAAACAATATCACCTGAGCAGAGTATTAAGTCATGTGACTGGTAAGGTAAGTGTTAATTGTAATTCGAAAAAGACATACTAAGCAACAGAGAAGCTTTCAGTGTGAGTGTTAAGGTGTGTGAGTAGTACAGTGAGTATAATGTAGACAAAAATATATATTGTGTGCAAAGGTCCTCCCCTGTGAAAATTGGGCAGAGTTGATTGTAGGCAAAGCTGCTGTGTGGAAAGTTATTTGTAGGCAAGGTTCATAGATTCTTTCTGGGCTGGCTATAAAGGAAATTACTATGGCTATGGTAACGCTAACGAAAAGAAAGTCAGGATTTCCATGTGTAGTTCATTTATGATATGATTAAACTGAAATGTTCATACAAAAAAACCTTAAAGTTGTTATGAATATAACAGTTTTGTGTATTAAATAATACAATCATGAAAACAATAATAACATGCCCCATTTTTCTTGCGGACAAACGTACAATGAAAAGAATTTTACGTTTCCATTACCGTAGCTGGGTACTGTCTATTGATATGAATTTGGCTACCTACACGTACATGTATAATGACGACAGCCACATCTCACCTAGTACAGATAAAAAACACGAACACGGTGGTGGAATATACTGATGTTGACTGGGTTGACTATGTGTGATTGATACCACTGTGTGATTGATACCAATGAATCACAACGCTTGCCGACTGACCACATAAAGTTTGTAATATTAGACGAGAGAGAGGCAGAGGCGTTGAATTGCCTCCCTTGAAAATGGTACAGTCGATAAATTCAGTCCCACACCGTGTCATCTGAGAGGGTGTAAAATAGCGACGACAATGTCGATGTTTGCTCAAGTTCAGTCAAGTGCAGGTGCGTTTAAATTGTTCACATGTCCATGTTAGTGTCAATAAGAAACCTAGCTCTGATTCCAAATTGGGTAAAGAACCTCTTTCACCACATTTAGTAACTGTTGACTATGCATTACGTTTGTCTGTTACATTGTAAATCGAAAACAATAACATCAGAAGAACATTACTCCTTACAATTGATTTGATGGTGCAAAAGTTTTCATTTTTATCAGACAGATAAAGATGTTTAATCATTGTAAACATTGTATATATACGTCATGTATGATGTTAATCTTACATTGTATTATTTTTCAGGACAAGCTAACAATGTCGGATTATATGAGGTAATTATCGTTATTTTGATATTCAGACCTTTCAAGTTATATTTGCGGGTACGCCATGTCGAGTGGCCCTCCTTGGGCATTTTTACATGTTAGAAACCTATGATCATAGGTTAAAATCTCAGATTCTTGAAAATACTGTACCCATGTTGGTGGGCTTCATCCCACCTCAAGCTATTGCTATGATAAAAAATTAAAATTAAAACTGTTTAAAGCAGGCATAAACAAAAAATACCTGAATTTCATTTAAGCCAGTGAAAAACATGACCCTTATTTCCCAAGAGATGGGTCCTGTAGAAAAGGACTTTCCAAAATCACATAAAATAATTTGGTTGTGAAAACACAAGTTGATGGTTGACATGCATGTCCAACTGATTTCATGATAATTACTGGCATGAGAAAAACAGAACCTGCAAATGTATTTATATTTGTGAGCTTAAGAAATTTGGCTTAGTTTGATCAGGTCAGTGTTTTACAATCATAATCATAATCTTCTTTTTTTGTTGTATGTGAAATTCTTTCTGCCATGGTTACTAGACAATATTTCCAAGTTTGAACCAAAGGAGATCATGTTAATCTAACAGTTCATCTTGTTGAGAGCTTAAACAACCAATTTCAGTGTTGGAGCCAATAAATGTTTTGCTCCCATCCTACTGACAGTCGCCCACATGTTTAAGGGATGTCACATATAGAACCATGTTGTGTATTTTCAGGAGGTAAAGCTGTACAGGACAGCCAGAGAGAGAGAAAAGTAAGTTTTAGAGAGTAGGTGAGGGAATCCTGTTACATGTCAGCAATCTTCGCTGATAATTTTTAGTCTGTCAATTACATCTTGTGTTATCATGGTTACTTGTGAGCTTACACAAGTGAATATACATGTGTATTATATGTGTGGTGGATTTTTAAATCTCTCAATAAATTTTACATGAAAATTTCTTTTTAAGAAAATAGAATCTGAAGATTTTCCTTTCTTTTGGGAACAAATGTCCATTGAAATTAATTGGAACTATACTATTTGCATTTAATTTAATTTTAGTTTCTTCATTTTTCTAAGAAGTATTAAAGTTTGATGTTGGTGTAATGCAGTATATGTTTATTGTCAAATTCTTCACCTCCTTGTATTCTTGTCCTAAAGTAGTCACCATGTTCCTCATCCAGGTATGACAACATGTCAGACCTATATGCTGTGATCAATACACTGCAGAGTCTACAGAAGGCCTACATCAGGGATGCTATCCTCCCAAAGGAGTAAGTTACTCAGATAACAGCCTAATAGTATATGTAATAAACTGTCTTTAGCAACCCATGCTTGTCGTCAAAGATAAGTAACTGTGCTGAGTGGTCCGACGGACTGACTCACTTGGTTGATGCATATCGTCACATGTTATGAAATGAACTTGAATTATTTTTGTATCAAATTAACAGTCTGTGGTAACGGTTGTATCAATCGAAACTTGCCGCCAAGACTATTTGCCTTGTCCGTGGTACCTATTTCCATTGTTTGATGATGTCGTACAACCTCAGGGAACAGAATATCCCATCTTACCAATTACAAAAGTGACAGAAAAAAGGTTGTTTACAATTCTGTAGCTCTTGTTTTTTTCGCATTATGGCCAACCTAAGTCACATATGACATCACGAGTGTAAAAGGTCAAAGACTTGCTAGCGGAATATATATAATGGCCCGAAACTGAGATAGCAGAAACTGTTTTCATGATTAAAATGTTAATACTAATACTTCTGGAATTAAAATTTGGGGTACATGTTTCTGATGACTTTATCTTTAATCCAGTCAGTTATTGCAATATTCTAGCATTCTCCTATAAGTCTGATTTGAATGACACTATGCTGAAAACAATAACAGGACAACCATAGTGAATGGGTCCGGGGGTTTTGTTGACAAAGAATGGCGTTAAATTACACTGGATGCTTATCAGCTGCCTTCTTTTCTTGGGACAGAGTTGTCTCCCTTAGCTGCTAGAATGCTGTTAGGTTCAAATCTCAGCACAATTCTTGATTTATCAGTACCGTTTCCGATATGAGGACATATATGTCACACTTGTCTTTCTTCCAATGTTAATCAGAACATAACTGCAAGTCAGCAACCATAGTGAATTGAGTTTAGTTTTATGCCGCACTCAGCAATATTCCAGCTATATGGCGGCAGTCTGTAAATAATCAAGTGTGGCCCAGACAATCCAGTGATCCACAGCATGAGCATCGGTCTATGCAATTGGGATATGATGACGTGTGTCAACCAAGCCAGCAAGCCTGACTACCCGCTAGTTGCCTCTTATGACAAGCATGGGTTACTGAAGATCAATTCTAGCCTGGATCTTCATGGGTCAGCAACCATATTGTAATAATGCACCAAGTCTCAGTTTTCAACACAGCTCAGCATTGTCCATCTGTCATTTGCTTCCTTGTTTGTTTATAGTCTGAGTGCAGGTGAAATATGGTGTTGTGTTTGTGTGACAGGTACACTGCAGCATGTTCCCGGCTACTGGTTCAGTACAAGGCTGCATTCCGACAGATACAGAGTGATTTCCCGACTATAGAAGACTTCCTCAAGAAATACAGAGTGAGTTGCAGTAGGCTACAATCTGTTGAATAGGGTGTTCACTTGACTTTCATGTGAGGAAGAGAGCCATTAAATAAAAATATCAGAGTGACACAAGGAAGAGCTGCCATGAGTACGGTAGATTCCTTTGCCAGCATGATCAGCCTCATTACACTTTAGGTTTATTATGTTCAGTAAAATTTTAAAATGTCATTATTAGTCACAATCATCCTGGGACAGTGAAGGTAGCATTCATTTTACTGGAACTATCATTATGGACAAAACACAAACACCATGTGATACTGAGAAACATGAAGTGACATTTTGCATTCACATTTTCTTCGCCACAATATCCACCAATCTTCATGATCCTGCTCATTCCTTCCTTTTCGAATGGTTCTTAAGTAATAAGAAGATGGTGTTTCCTCAAATTAATTTGTTAATTTGTTGGTTTCCAGTTAGATTGTCCTCTGGCTCTGGAGAGAATCAAGGAGGATCGACCTATCACAACTAAAAAAGAAACAGGAAGCGAAAGCAAATGTATTGCAGACATTGTGTCGGTGAGTTACTTCCAGCCATCGATTCTTCTCAGACCCCAGTGTTTGTGTTTCATCGGTTTTTGCCTTATTCAATGTAGCCTTCCGTTCACATACAAGATACCTGTAATACCTGCTTAGATTATGGTGATATTTACGATGGTTGATATCCTCTTTCAGCTGTTCATCACTGTCATGGACAAACTTCGCCTGGAGATCCGCGCTATGGATGAGGTACTGTGTGTTTTGAGAAACCCTCATGTCTATAAATGTATTCAGATTTGGCCTACCTTTAGAATACAGCACCACAAACTTTAAAAATACGTCATAATACCCTTTTACGTAATGTAATGTGATTTTGTTCGAAAGCACGTTCTCGAAACAATGCCCAATGATGCCTGCATGGCAACACCGTTGTCTGGCTCAGCGAGTGCGTATAAGCTCCGCTCACTGGTGTTTCATCTCTACGAGTTATGTCATTGCATAAGCCCAACGATGTTGAGAGTTTCCAGTAGTTGTATACCGGCGGATGCGCAATATTTTGCAAGCACCAGTTTGAAATATTTTTCTTTTTTCACTAATACGCACATATTTATTTGTATTACGGGCTGCTGAGGTGTTATGTTTTGTGTATTTTGTATTTTGTATTTTTTTTAATTTACATATATAGTTTTGTCATTCAGTAATTTGCACCATTACATAGAAAAGTGTTTTATTAGTATTTTATTTTTCGAAGCGGTAATAATGCATTACACTAGACACGTCAGTCGTGTTTGTGCCGGTTCGGTCAATGCATTCTATTTATTAGGATTAATTCAAGGGATTGGGGTTAGGGTTAGGGCTAGGGCTAGAACTAGGGTTAGGGTTAGAGCTTAGGGCTTAGGGTTTAGGGTTGGGGTTGGGGACCTAATGCAATATAGTAGGTACATGTCCGGTGGTTCGGTCAATGCATTCTATTTATTAGGATTATTTCAAGGGGTTAGGGTTAGGGTTAGGGACCTAATCCAATATAGCAGGTACATGTCCGGTGTAAAACGTGAGTACCATTGGTTGTTTTTCCTTTTTGCATTTTAATACTTTTTTTTCACACAAAAACGGGAAACCCAAAACGTCAAAAGTACATTATGAAATGGGTTTATGTAGAAATTTTGGGCTAATGAAAATTGGCCTGGAATTTGCACTCAAGCTTCTTTCACACGCAACATAAATTTTGTAAAGTAATGATTCGAAGGCTAACTCACCCTCGTGCCGTCACTACACATGCTCATGTCTCCCTCGTTCCTTAGTGCGATCCACATTATCCATACAGTGTTCCCTACATCACGTTTCTGTCACAAAATCACCGATTTATATAAAAGCGCTTCATTCATGCATGCACCGTGGAAATCTACGTCTGGCGCCTGGACGTCAACAACCCTTTCAGTTTGAGGCATATCGGCTCATTCCACGCCACACGTTAATTTGTAGATTACAGAATGGGACGAGTGTGCCAAATGACATGGGATCCATTCGGCAATTGTCCGTAGAATAAAATCACGATACACCAAGTCTACCCGTAACCTTCGTAATTGTCCGTGACCTATTCGACTCTTTCCGTTCATTTCCGTGACGTCACAGGAATGACTCGATAAATTTGCACATTGTGCAACAGTGTGGACGTAGCTCAGTCGGTTGGCTGTCGGGCTAACAATCCGAAGGTCGCGGGTTCGCGTCCGACGGGTTCTCACAAACTGGTTGCTTGTCTTAATGACACGTGACCTACGGCAGGGATCGTCCTCACGAGAAGTTGTGGTGCTGTATTCTAAAGGTGCTCCTCAGATTTCACTGACAAATGTTATCCTTTAACTTCTTCTCCAATACTTATTTTTTGTAACTTGTAACTGGACATCACTTCTCATCACTGGATTGTCTGGTTCAGACTTGATTATTTACAGACAGCCTCAATATGGCTTGAATATTGCTGAGTGCAGCGTTAAACAAAAAACCAACCAACCAGAAATTGAACCATTGACCTACAGCTCATTGACCAGGCGCTGAACGTACTAGACCAGTGAAGGTTTTCTGTTGAGCCACTGGCATCACTGTTAGAATGCTTGTGTTTCCGTGTTGTTCACAGATCCAGCCCGACCTGCGTGAGTTGATGGAGACAATGTCACGGCTCAGTATTCTACCTGATGACTTTGAAGGCAAGAAAAATGTCGAAACTTGGTAAGACTAAAGTGCAGTTTAAAATTTCAACTTTCCAAATATGTTTAGCTAACAACTTGATTTCTGTCATTTTATTGATGTTATAGTCAACTGAAACAGTTATTATGTCCTAACAGATAAAGATTTCAGCATTAACAGAACAAGCTAAATAAATTCAATTTTTTTAAGCAAGGAATGCATTAGATTCTACTGGTGAGCCTTGCAAATGATATCCACTCTCAGAAAAAATCATAAATAATTTAAGCTCAAATACAAAATGTTTTGTATGTTATGATCTAAACCTTGCAATAAAGTATCTATGATACAGTGGCAGTTAGTGCAGGAACAGATTTAGATGAACTCGCTTATTCCTGATGTGTAACAGGATGTGACATCGTGTTGCAGGCTGGACACACTGAGTGCCATGCAGGCTTCGGGAGGAACTGAACGATGGACAAGTACGACAGATGTTGTTTGACTTAGAATCAGCTTATAATGCATTCAACCGAGTCCTACACGATCATTAAGACCCTGGACAGCTTGTTGGATTGTCTGTTTTACCAAATTCTGTGATTGTGTTTTCATCATGGGAGTCAGTGTCAGCATGCGGCTAAAATGGCATGGAGGAAATGAGCGTGGTGATGTCCACATATGTATTGTAATATTTTTCGCTTTGACATTCTGATCTGATTTTTAGGGGCAAAAAATCAATTGAACTAAAGAAAAGATTCTGGCCTTATCACCTATGACACTGAACAGGATAGTCTGCCTTTTGAATATCAGGGACTAAAAACAAGGAACAAAATGTCCATGCCATTGATTAAACGATTTACAGCACATTCTGGTTGGGTAAGATTTTTTGTACTGTCTGTATATAATCTCTATAACCTGCATGTCAATATGTAAATAGGATGTACAGTCATGAGCTCATTTGTCAACATCATCAGTGGCCATTTGATGTCTTTCACCGCAAGCCATCACAAGCACAATGCAAGTAAATGAAATAGTCGTCAAACTTAGATTTGAGATGGGGATGTATGTAAGTGATGTAAAATCAGAAAGGCTGGGGATAGACAGCAAATCCAACTCATTTTGAACATCAAGTATTATTCTAAAAAATAGTGGGATGTATAAAATTGATTATTATGTGATTAATGGAAGGTCAGGTATTTGTGGGACATGGCAGTGTATGCAATAAGGCCCGTCCGACAGCCTGAGACGGGCTAGATTACTGCCGGGCGGCCTAATTTTAAAGCTAGCCAGCCCGATGGACGGGTTAAAAAAATATTCAGATGTGTCCACTGGCACTGTCTATTTAGTACTTAAGGACTGGTTAAATCTCTTCTGGTCTCGCAAGCCCAGATGTCTGGCTGGGTTTTTGGCTTATTTCATACACTGGACATGGTTTCCATCTTGTTTTTACCTACATCTTGGCTCGAGAATATTTTCCTAGTCATGCCCTTCTGTCCATGTCTGTGCCACAACCTGAGGAATGCAGGGTTGCCAATTCATGGTCAGTCCTTCTGTTTATCCATGAACTCACATTGATTTTCATAGTAAACAAAACAATCTTAAAATTAATTACCTTGAGTTGTAAAATTTTGTGTTGAGGTATATGTTCAGATATTTGCCCAAACCAGTATCAAGAATGTATGACTTCCAACGAGTATTTCAGTTTTGCCTTCATAAAGTGTTCATAGTTGTGGGTGAGTTCCCAATGTTTGCACCTGTACATGGATGTATCTATTGAAGTTAATATCACAGAAGGATTTGTTGACAGTTTGTAAGATATGATTAAATGAAATAAACATTTAATATTTGTGACCAGTGACTTTCTTCTTCCATCTCATATCACCTCTGGAGTTAGTCTCAGTTTCTGAACCACATTATTTTCCCCACTGCCTAGCCCTCTCTGCAGTGCTAAAGCCCTAAATAAAGCAAGTCTAGATTTCCTCAGGTTCAGGATCTCTGGTCTGCCTTGGGCTCCTTTTCAATTTAAATGGGCTTGTCTGTTACTATCAAAAATATATATATTCAGAGACTAAGCCTTTGTCAGATGGCTTAGAAGTCTGATGGAGCCGCAACACGTTATGTAGAGTTGGTCATTTGAGAAACCTTTGTGGGGTTTGAATCCTGGTTAAACCCAATTATGTTTCTAGTGTTTACCGTGCCTGAGGGATTTAATACTGCACTACTTCAGATGTTTGTGTCTCAAACTTCGAGAGGACTGTGATAATTGTGAATTTATAATGCGCCTTTCCATGTACAAGGCACATGCTCAAAGCGCTGACACACAATCTGATTATTATTGTGAGGCGCTAGAAGGGTCATAGTCACATGATTTATCCCACCGGGTACCCATTTTCTGCTGGGTGAACAGAGGCAAGTTTGAACAAACTTACTTGCTGCAGGTGAACCACCTGTGCTTCATTGAGGGGCAGGACTGAAGTCCTGACATCTGTACATCTGTGATACTACTGGAATACTTAAGGGAGTCATTAAACCCACACAACTCACTCGCATCAACTAGACATGAAATATGTTGTATGCATGTAGTGCGATCAATTCAGGATGTCCAGAATAAGTTGTACAGATGTCTGTGGGCAACTCTTTCACAATTCTGTGTAGAGAACCTGGTTTGTTTCACTCCACACCAGTCAGCAATATTCTAGACATGTCACAGCGGACCTGTAGATAATCCAGTGCAGGTCAGGAAACTTGTGGATGTCCATTACCAGTCCCCTGTAACCCACGGTAACACATCTCCATTCTATTCTGATAGAATCCCTGGATCCAATCTTCACCATGGTTTCATTTTAGCTTTGTTCCTATTGCGCTGTGATAAGATTATCCATCAAACTACTGCAGAAAATTTCTCTTCCTGAGGTTCGAGAAATGGAGGTGATGTCATTTCAGGTTACTATGGTGATGAATAGGTAAACATAACGGAATGGAGATGCTATACCCTTGAAATTCGAGGATGGTCAAGAACAAAATATGCAGAAAAAAAGAAGAGCAAATATAGAAGTATTCTTTTAATTTGAAGACAGTTGTTGGATGACTTCACATTTCAGATTACACCAAGCATATGCATAGAATCAGGTTATTTACACCAAACGACTATGTCATGATCAAAGATATCAGTAAATACCTGCAAGCTGGACACTGTCAACAAAGTAAACATACTCTAGACTGGCAAACATGAAAACTGTCTACCATTTGAAAAAAAGCAGGTAGATGTTACTTGGCTAAAAGAAGAAATAACATGCTTTCAAAAGGTTACTTCAGTACTCCCCTTGTGTCTAGTAAAAAGCCTGAGTTTGTCAATAAACAGGTTACACACAACATCTGAAATACAGTGCATACTCTCTCTTAAGAAATATTTCAAGGCAAGACCAATGTGATTGTTATGAACGCAACAATTAATGCCTCAATCTCAGAAAAAGAGATTTTTCACAAATACTATCCAATCAAACAATGCCTAAGGGACCGTTCATAATTTATGGCTAGGGGGGTGATGATGATTTTAAGGGGGTCATCCATATTGTTCTGGGGAGCTAGGGAGGGTCAGCAATTTTGTACACACATACTTGGAAGAAAAGCAATTTTGTACATAAAATATGTTTAAAATTATGCTTAGAAATTATGGGAAGGGAGGGGGGTCATTGATTTTGTACATAATTATTTTATTTTAAAATTATTATTTTTGGGGGGTCATCCACATTGTACATGCTTCATCATAAAATCCTCATCACTCACCCCCACCACCCGACACCCTTAGCCATAAATTATGAACGGTTCCTAATTCAAAGAATTCTTTTACCTGGTTTCTGACAAAGAAAATATTACAAGTGGCAAAACATCCCTTTGTTAATATAACAACCCTAAATTGATGTGTTTGATATTTGTTCACTATGGCTATGTCAATATTGATTTTACGGGTGGGTGTCACCCATTTTGTTCTGGGAGATAGTGGGAGTCAGCAGTTTTGTACACATGGGGGAGGAGGGAGAGAGAGGAAGAGTGTCAGCAATATTGTACACAATAATATTTAAAATTTATGCTTAAAATTATACTGAATGGGAGGGGCACTGATGTAATACATGACATGCAGGGGGGCACTTTGTACATTCCAGCAATATGTGGGGGGGGTGAGCACTGAAATGGTACATGCATTGTGCCCATATAAATCAACATCACCCCTAGCAATGACTGAACTGAGGCTGACTGAGTTTAAATTTTATAGCCACTTTTAGCATTATTTTAATACATGACATGCAATATCACGGGGGCACTTTGTACATAAATGGGCTTAACACATGTGTGTGTGTGGGCATTGACATTGTACATGCTTCTCCATATAAATCATCATCACCCCTAGCCATGAATTATGAGCAGTCCCTAATGGTGACATATATTGTTCAGTCACCACATTTCACTAATGAATACAAAAGCACCAATTAACAGTCCAATAATACTATTGGAATCCAGTAAAATATTGGGAGAAAAAAAAACAATACAAAAATAACAAAAGGTACCACTTTCCATAAGAGAGAGTTAATTTACTTTTATGCCACATTTTAGCAATATTCCAGCAACGTGACAGCGAGGGACGCCTTTTCCATTAGATTTTGTTGGGTTTATTATAATGAAATGCTTACAGACCATTATAACCTCAACACTATATATATATGGCAATAAGATAAGAAAATATCATGTATCATGTAATTTTGGCGATAAATGCCTGGAATAAATTGTTTTTATTCATAAGGCAGTGTTATTGTATATACTCAAAGCCCATGCAAATATGGTTTTCTCCTGATGTTAGGCACGCTGGTGCAAATGCTAGTGAATATTGCATGCATGTATATATACTTGAAAAAGACTAGAATGGCATTGCTGTAACCAAGGAAACAGCTGCATCTGTGGCACCAGAAATGCAAAATGCTTTATAAAAATGGATTAAGGTATCTGTGATGCTGTTTATGTATTGTAAGTAGCGTTTTAAGTTGAATCCAGAATGTACTGATACTTACATGTCTATAAATACATCACATGGGTACATACAAACCAAGAACCAAGTTTTACCCAAACATACTGACTCCTACCCACTGTGCCAATGAACTTGTGCACACTTACCAACTACAATGGGTATTAGGGAAAACATTTCAGCAACAGCAAAACATGATTCTGTTGAAAATGTCAATGAATTACCAATACGTTCATTGAGGAATTTTCATCTCTTGGTGGCAGATTCATAAAACATTTCGGACCAAAATGAAATAACATGCAAAAAAACATAATCTCTTATCACAGTGATTGAATCATATGATTATGAGAGTAGAATGTTGAGAGGAATGAGACAGAGATAGGAAGATATAGTGGCTATGTACATGGAGGAGAGGGAGTTATCTCCCCTTCTGAGGAGGAAAGCACGGTGAGCAGAAGGGGTATAAAAGCGAAGAATCAGTAAAATATGTCTCTTTGATATGTGTCAATCATAGTGATTATCATAAACATTGATATACATATTCAAACATATCCATTCACACACAGAAAAGTTATAAGCTTTTAGCTTCATTTCGACAGTGATGTAGTAAGTATCAAACATTCTTCAATGGTTCGCAATGATAGTATGGACCAATGTCCGAATTCCACAGGTTTGTATACTTTGGTTTCCTCCTTCACCCATGATCACATAAAGCCGCTGTGCAGTGTTTCTAACCAACAAGTGAGTGAGTTTAGTTTTACACCACTTTTAGCAATATTCAAGCAATATTGCATTAGGGGACACCAGAAATGGGCTTCACACATTGTACCCATGTGGGAAATCGAACCGGTTCTTCAGCATGATGAGCGAACACTTTAACGACAAGGCTACCCCACTGCACCTTTTTTAACTACCAAATTAATGTATGGCCAATGAGAGCATAGTTTACATTATGCAAGTAGCAATATTTCTGGCATTAAGAGTGCAACATGCATCATAGCTATACCGCTGCCTGGACTACTTGTAACTTCATGTGTTGTCAATAGCGGAGTTCATATAAGTTCACGCACAAGGAGATTCATTTGACATGAGTCACTCTGGTGAGTGAGTGAGTTTAGTTTTACACCGCTTTTAGCAATATTGCGACAGGGGACACCAGAAATGGGCTTCACACATTGTAAACTTGTGGGGAATCAAACCCGGGGTCTTCAGTGTGACCATTCTCTTCCCACAGAGGTTACTTGTCATATCTTCCTACGAACCTCTGTTCTAATACGGCCATATTTCCCGGTTCTCGTAAAATCCCCTAGCGGCAAAAGATCGCAACACGAATTATCTCCCTTCTTTCTATCCAATCAGAACACGTGTTACATCGACTTAGATTCAACTTGACTAACACAAGCAAATGTGAGGCCACAAATATCCCCCATCTGCTGGGGACTTGTGTTGATGTTACACACAAGACGTTTAATGGCTAGCTTGTCCGTTGTCAACGAGGGCGATGGAGACGCCACTGATCCGCCATAACATGACTGAGTTCTGTCTAGAAGAAACGTTTGCGCATCGCGCAGGGGAAGAGGTTTAGTTTTCTCGAAGTATACGGAAATTACCGAGGCCTTGCGAATGATCACTTTGAAACAACGTCGCTGATTGCACAACTAAATCTGATTGCCTCCAATCACGAGTCTTGAACGCTCACACCATGAAAGGGCTGTATTAGAACAGAGGTTACGTAGGAAGATATGACAGGAGTAACCTCTGTGGGGAAGAGAATGCAGTGTGACGAGTGAACACTTTAACCACAAGGCTACCCCACCGCCCAAAGTCACTATGGTCCCATTTCACTAGCTATAGACCAACACATGACACACAACATAGCAACTGTGTATATTCATGGGGATGTATACAAACTCATGGAGTACTGAAAAGTCATGACAAGCTGTGTAACATTTCTAAACATTAGACTAAACTGTACACTATCATATAAAAAGCCAATCTTGAGTGTCAAGGATTCTAAAACTGGATATCAAATGGTTATCAACTTAAGCTTCAAAATTCAGAATACATAGTTATACAACTTTCAACATTTAACTGATTTACAGATGAGGTACAGCCTGATTATTAGGTATTTGACAATTAGAATAGCTACAAGGAGGAGAATTTTATGGATGTCATCTCCTATATTATGAGGAACTGAACTTTTCAGAGTACATATATATACTTACTGAAATGAAGGCTTAAGTATATTCTCTTAAAGGTGCTCCTCATTATAAAGAAGTTGACATCCATAACACTCTCTTCCTTACCTGATCATTGTGTGCAATTACAAAACGTTGTAGGTAACATTCTAACATTGCTCTATATATCCTTCTTGTGGCAGTTTTGATCCAACATTTTGAATCAGAAACACTTAAGAAACATCCTAAGACTTCTTTGCTGATGGCTCGTGGGATATGTTGGTCCGAAGAAATCCCTACAACCCCTGCAGTTGTGATGTCATTATACTCTGAGTGAGTGAGCGAGTTTGGTTTTACGCCGCTTTTAGCAATATTCCAGCAACATCACGGCGGGGGACACCAGAAATGGGCTTCACACATTGTACCCATGTGGAGAATCAAACCCAGGTCTTCGTGTAATGAGCGAACGCTTTAACCACTAGGCTACCCCACCGCCCCTCATCATACTCTGACTATGGAGATATCTCTCACACCTTTTTCTAGCATGTCAGTTGTCCAAATACATTCATTTGTTAAATTTCATGTGCCATAGTATTTCTTTCTTTGTTGTATATTGCCACACTCTGAAATATTCCAGCTACTGCGTGTAATTAAGAGTGGACCATATCATCCAGTGATGGACATAACCAACATTAATTCACAGTTTCAGGGTACAATGACATGCAAAAACCGAAGTCATGATTTCTGACCACTTTATCCATGACAGACAGCAAAGGTTGCTGGGATCTAGTCTAAACCAGAATTCAGGCTGAGGTCCATATTGCTTGTAATCCCCTAACAGTCTCAAAAGGCAGTAAAAGGGTAACTGCATGAAAATCGAAACGGTAACTGCTAGGTAGATAACAGGAAGAAGCTAACCTTCCCAGTATATATCTTTCGTATCATTTACAGTGCTAGGCACTTGGATCTCTCATCTAACCAACCTTCACAATACTTCAGTCATGAAATATTTCAGATTCCACTGGCAAGAATTTCATTAATACTGATAAAATCTTAAGTTGTGTTAGGTCAAATATTGTGACAGAAATCTTCGTAAATACACCAAACCTATAAAATCTTAACAAAATGGCAATTACGATTACATATTGACAAAAACATTTCCATAATGACAACTAAAATATTTCATCTGCACATCCTGACAAAGACAAAGCTTTAAAAATAAATCTGAACATATGTGGAATGTATTCTTCCAAATAGCATTTCCTTGAATTATGTACACAGAATATTCTCCAAAATGGATATGTATTTAGCATGTTCATAGTAAATCGAGCATATATTAATTAAAAACACATTGAATTTGACCAGCAAACCTAGAAGCAAGCAAAGCTATATAAAATTACTATGCTTGAGTATTGGTAACAGAACATTACTGCACATGCCCTTATATAGACTTTTCTTGTCGGTATCTCTGGAACTGCCTGACCTTTAGCAGACAGTGGAAGAGAACATGTCCGATTTTAACAAAATATACATAAAATGTCCAAACATGGCACCATTACAGTCTAGGTACCTGGAAAAACATCCATGACTGTCCAGTGTATATTATTTTGATTCCATTATGATAAATACCTCAAACCAAATGGCAACCTAGTTTCCTCTTGAGTGAGTGAGTTTAGTTTTATGCTGCACTCAGCAATATTCCAGCTATATGACGGTGGTCTGTATATAAGCGGGTCTGGACCTGACAACCCAGGGATCAACAGCATGAATATTGATCTATGCAACAGGGATGCAATGACATGTGTCAACCAAGTCAGCGAGCCTGACCACCTGATCCTGCTCACCCCTCACGACAAGCATGGGTTACTGAACTCTAACCCGGAACTTCATGGGTCCTGTTCACCAAGAAGGGAAAGGGTACGGGATAGCTGGATGTGAAGCCAGCCTGACCACCTGATCCCGAGATTCCTCTTGAGTCAGATTTGAATGACATGACACTAAAAATAGCCAGCCAATCAAAATCGTGTTCTTTCATGATTGACACATGTGGATATACTGATATAGTGCCAACTCTGTCATATACATCTGGGAATGTCTATTAACTTTTCTAGTGCAAGCTTAAATAAGTAACTTAATTTCAAGACCTTTACGTTATATGTTTCCCAATGTATTGATCATAGGAGGCTGCAGAGCCATTTTGACCTCATTTCAGAAGTTATTTTCAGCATATGTTGATTCAATCAACATGGATTAGACATATTCAGTGCTAAGTAAGTGATAATAGGCAAAATGATAACTTCTCTAATAAGTCAATGGTGGCAATAGGTCTTCAATATTTATCATACTAGAATGGAGACAATGCACAGGACATCTAATGATGGCAGACAATGAAGACTATTAATGTTCAAGAACATCTGCACATATTACAGCTACAATGGAGAGTTGTTTTCCCTGAAATGATCTTTAATCATTCCATAAAATTTGCATTAACCTTTCCCTGAAATAATAATTTTGAGATCATTTTTCAAATATCTTTCGATATACCTAATTTAGATCTGACATATCGAAAGGCACATAAGATACAACAAATGACAAAATTGAACCAATAAATTAATCGAGAGGCAAACTCTATCCATAGATGTTGTCCAATCTCTAGCACTAGGTCCAGCACATGATGACTAGATATTCATCCCCATCACATCGTGTCACAGTCGGAGTCCTCGTAGTTTCATCAGGGGCTTCACCAGGAGCGGCGGTTTTATCTTCGGCTTTGGCGGAATGACCTCAGCCTCACTCTCGGCAGTCGGGAAGCGCCGATAGTACAGACTGGGATATGTTTTGGAGAACTAAAGAAAAACATGGATTCATTTAGCAGAGAAAAACACAGTTTACTCCTGGATTTGCTAAATATTTATGAGAAATAAGATAAACTAATTTTCTATATAACAAAACACACCAAATTTATCAACCATGTAGAGCACAAAACAATTTGTCTTTGCACTTAGATTGCACTTAGATTTCAATGAACACAAGAACATTTTTAAATTACATGTACCATGATTATAATTGATTTGTCGGAGGAAGACTATGGTCGTGAGTCTTTTCTTTAACCTCTATATGCTAGTTTCTGCTCAGTACACTTATCATAGATTACAAGAAGTACAGTGAACTTGAGTGTCTTGCAGCAAGGGTAATATTATGTAGATGTAACGTTGGTCTGGAGCCTGGGATGATAGATGCCACAGCATAAAGGTATTAGAAAACTAAGCGACACAAAGCAATAGACAGTTATCATAGGAAATGCAGCTCACCTCAATATATAGTAGTGTTGGGAATTGGTTGAAATCTCACAATTGATGATTGGTTCAATACCAACGACCAATCATCGAAAAAATTGCTTCGCGTCATTTTTTAGATTTTCCTATTCAGGTTGTAGTTGCAGATAAGTATAAAGAAAAAACATTTGGTTCTCTGTTGTTGTTTTTGAAACTCACAAATTACATTTGCAAATTTCACATCCAGTGTAAAATGATTCAGTTCCAGTGTAACATAAACTTCCCAGATTCTTCAAGAAATATTCAGTCATGACTTTTCAGAAAGTGAAGTGAATTTTCTTAGAAATAAACACGCTTTCAGGCCCTGAAAACGTCCTAAATATGTTCTATCATCAAGTATTTCAAACTCTATTACAGCGGTTCCAAAATCGTTTGTGTTCGATTATGAGAAAATGTGATCGATTGCTTGGTCGTTTGGCCACTGCGACCAATCTTCGATTATTTCAATTAATCGGAACACCACTAATATATAGTCAACAAACTTTGACACTTGACAAAATTGGCTGTTAGCATTGATATTCAAGTATTTCCTGCATAAGTGATGAACATATAACATCTAATCTAAAGATTTGAACAAAATATGATGGCATTAAGAAAAGAAACATGTATGCCAAAGTTCATTTCCTTCAATGTCAGAAAAGCTGTATATTCATTAACAAAGAATACAAAATGACTGTCATAAAAGCTTAGAATTGAATATTACCAAACCTACCATGCGCCCCAAATTGAGCATTTTGTTTTATACAGGAAAGGCTAAGTAGGGGCCATAAACAACATCAAACATTTTTAAAAAGAGACAGAAAAAGGGCTGCTGTGGCGGCCATATTGAAAATTTATTCAGACCTCTTGGACAAATTGAGGTAACATAAGTGGTGGTAACAACGTAAACTAACAACTGACACTAGACAAACAGGCCATGACAATAGATCCCTTGACTTTCAGTCAGAGGAGCTTGAAAAGCTGAGAGCCGAGAGTTAAGTAAAAAGATAAACAACTTACAGTCCACATCTGCAAGAGAAATACACACACAACACATACTAGTCTACTATTTACATCAATATTGTGCTTGTCACTAAAACATTCATACAGCATTCCCTCTCACCACTTACCAGTACTCTAACGAGATGTAGGAATCCAAGTATTTCTCACTTCTCCTCACATGTACTTACTCCCCAATAATACACTGACTGACTGACTAAATTTGTGTTTTACGCTGCTTTAAGCAATATTCCAGCAACATCACGGCAGGGGACACCAGAAATGGGCTTCACAAATTGTACCCATGTGGGGATTCGAACCCGGGTCTTTGGCGTGACGAGCCAACGCTTTAACCACTAGGCTACCCCACCGCCCCCCCCCAAATAATACACAATCTTTCAAATACAATCAAATAATAAATAATAACCGGTCCCACAGAAGAGACAAAATCAAATCATTTTCTTATAACATTTTCAATTTTTTCACATATTTAAAATGTAGAAGTTGTGGCCCAAGATAATGTCACATATCATATCACTGACTCTGATTAGTATTAGGGCTGGCTATCGAAATTCATAATAGAGATTGATAATCGTTAACTATATCAATCGATTTTCAGTAAATATAAGAGAAGTACCTTGGAGCAAAAATGCCAAAAATGCATATACTTCACATCACAGGTGAGTGGTGACATGTTTTCACATGGTGAGGTGAGGTGAAATTGGGTTTAACGTCGTGCTTGAGAATATTTTGCTCATATGACGACGTGCATGCGTGTGTATGTGTATGTGCGGCTGCTTGTACTAGCCCAGACTTAAGCTGGTTTTATAGTGCTAGCCCACTGAGATACCATGCCACAGTGAAGCATGAATACCCCATTCAGACACATTATACTGACTCTGAGCCGACCAGTCCTTGTTGTACCCATTATTGCCGAGCGCCAGGCAGGGACCAACAAGTACCATATTTTAACGTCTTTTGGTATGACACGGTCGGGGATCGAACCCCCGACCTTCCGCTCTCCGGGCGGACGCTCTAACCACTACAGCACGGAGGCGGTCCATTTTCACATGGATTATCAACAAACCTGTGTCAGGAACATCATTTAGAAGCAGACAGTTATTAAAGTCCTAAATGTGTACATTGTGTCAGATATTAAAACATTTTTCTGTCACAAAAGTCAATGTTCGATATCATCAATAACTCAATTTTCATATCGATAGTCATTCATAATCTTTCCTATTGATGATATTTCTGATTATCAACAATTTTAGCCAGCCCTAACTAGTATTATCATGAATCTGTCCAGAAACACTGACCAGAGACATGCACCAGTATTTGTCTCGTGGACCCCAATGTTCATCACTTTCGGTGTTGAAAATTTAGGGGATCCGGCTGTGCTCTCCTCAAGTATTTAAATCTGGGGGTTCTGTAAATCGTCAAACTTTCATCATCTGAGTGACAATGAGCCTTCATGCTGAATTTCAAACACTGATGTTGGTTATCAGACATTGAACATGTAAACATATGGAGATGTTGCTGATTTGACAAGCACAATAATGATGAGATCAAGCCTCGGGTCTCCAATGGAGAACTGAGACTTGATCAAGCTACTCTACATAGATAACAGTTCCATAGTAGACCATCTCAAATACAAACTCAGCATATAATTCTACAATATCTCAGATAGTGTTCTCACTTCTACTTTTTCAGTGTTCATTGTAGTGGCCTGCCAAACCTGAAGAAAGGACTGGTAAAGATTGGAACCATTTATCTCACTAAAGCCTTTACTTTATGGTTAAATGAAGTCAAAGAAAAATATTTAGTTTTTCACTTCAAGCAATCACTGTACCAAATGGCGGTGAAATCAATTCTATTTACTTACTCAATTATTGATATGCATATGGATATTCTCAATTTAAGAATATGTAAGTACAAAGTACATAGTATGAAATTACAAAGTATCCCTTCCGAAAGTTGACTGAGCATTGAATATTCTTTTGAATTGTCATAAATATATTACCAACCAGAGTTGAATCTTTTCAATGAAATGGAAGACCAGAATCATTCATGAAGAACAACTTCTTTATATTTTGTAGCTACATTTTTTCCTCATAGAAGTTGTCCTCCACAAAAGATCAATGTCTAGAAGATTTGATACCATATCCTTAAATCATGTTTAGACAGCTGCCACTCTACAGACGTGAATCTTTTGCCAAAAGTCTGAGTTCTGTTACCAACTACAAACAGGTGGTACTTGAGAATGATAACAAAATGAACTGTCACCTCGCTGGAACTGTCTAAAGCCTTGCTCACTTGTTTCAACCGTTTCTTCTTGTCCTTAATGGACATAGACTGATCAGCAATGATTTCCTCCAAAAGATCGGCGAGGGCCTTCTGAGAGCTGCTCAGCTTCTGGGACTCGTACTTCTCCATGGAGACCTGTGTGCAGTAACGGGAGAGAGCGGGGTCTCCGGGTGAGTACACAATCTGGAAGGCAGACACACCACTCGTCAGCGAGCCAATCGGCGCAGAGTGATGTGTATGCACTGCCTTGATTGAAATATTCCTGTCCTGTTGGGGAAAATTGTGGATTTCTATCTATTCCTTTGTCAGTATGGAAGAGTTAGGGTGCCTTATCAAAACCTTCAGTTTACAGATGTAAGGGCATGACGAGTATTATCTGTTATGTGGAAAACAGTATCTGTTTATTCAGTGCTATATTCTACGAGTGTTCAAATTAATCATGTTAATAATAACAATAACAGTGATATTAGAGGCGAAGAGGTTAATTTGTATGTAGGTTTCTGTGAAGTAACAATTAAATAATGGCAAAATGAGGATCTCATTATCTATCGAAAGAGACCACACTGACATCAATAATTTAACCCCTCTGTAATGTTTTACAACTTGTCCTAAGCAACTCTCATCTTTTGGCTGGACATTTCTCGTTGATTAATTTGATTTGAAGTATTTGGGGAGGAAATACAAGCACTTGAAATATGTGTATGGCCCATGACATTATCAGAATGAAGGAAAACCCAAAGCATTGCTGAAAAGCAGTATTCAAGTGCTAAAAATCATTTTAGTAAAATGGTTCAGAGTGCATACACATCAAATCAACAGAAAAGAATTTAAAACTGCAACGATCAAAGTTACAAATAATAACTGCACAAAATAAAAACTAAATCAGAAATATTTTTTAAATTTATAAGAAAAGATTTTCACTCACAAATATTATCAACTACTGTTCGATCTTAAAAATCAATTTGTTTTAAATGATAATTTGAAATAATTTAATATAAAGTATTGGAAGGTGGTTAGAATAATGGTATATATGGATAGATATGACCAAGTGAATGCAAAGCAGAGTATATGGTGCCTGCAGTCCCCCACATACAGGTGAGAAGCGAGAATGTTCTAGGAAGAGGTGTTAGAGAACGTCTGTATGACATCATATGTGTGATACATGTCAGTTCATCTTCATGAGTCAAGGGGGAAAATAGGGGGAGAAATATTCAGCAGAAAAATCTTCAGAGTATGAGAAGTCTTCGTAAAATCAGATTTTCATGTTCTTTATTGCCACATGATTTTTTTGTGATTATCTTCGTATCTTTATGTTTTTCATATTGCTTTCAAAAGGGATCAAATTAAAAAAAGTACTGACGCAATGGATCAATATTATCTAAATATATTGAATTTTATGACTAGATTTGAAATCGTAGTGAGCAAACATGCCCGTCATATGAATATATTTCACTTTAAAGATGCATGGAATTGTAAGTGTCCTTGACCAAAGACTGACTGACTGACTGACTGAGTTTAGTTTTACGCCGCTTTTAGCAATATTCCAGCAATATCATGGCAGCGGACACCAGAAATGGGCTTCACACATTGTGCCCATGTGGGGATTCGAACCCGGGTCTTCAGCGTGACGAGCCAATGCTTTAACCACTAGGCTACCCACTGCCCCCTTGACCAAAGAAGATGCAGCTACAAGATCTGGTTATTGTCAAAGTAGACGATATATTCATATACATGGTGAGTGAGTTCGTTGGGTTTAATCGTGTTTTTGAACAGGTAAATTTATTTTAGCTTATAACAAAGTGGGGAAAACTCAAAATTCTGCAGGTCTTAATTGCACATTACTTCATGATTTTGGCATTCAAACCCATGAACAGGTTTCTGGCAGACAAGTATCAGCTAATTGTGCTGCCGTAGATAACTGATTCAGACTCTGAAGAAGCTGGAGATCTCTTAAATCTTTCATACCAATAAAGTTAAATCTATCATGCCAAAGCAGATTAAGTATTATAACATGAAGTAAAGTAGTTAATTTCTTTAGAAAAGACACAGTGCTTTCTTATTGATACTTGTGGGGAGTATTTGGCAAAATGCTTGCTTAGATCCACACCATAAAGTGTAGCTAGAGTGTACAGATGTATACAAATGTAAGACACATGTATGACAGTATAGACAGTGTGTAGAAGTATGCATATCAATGTGCAGTATGATTGCAACAGAAGATTATATACAGCGCATATTAGTATTAGAATGATATAATAAGGGCTATATACACTAGGATATGGATGTTAATTGAATTACAAGCTTGCATTCATTCAATACATATATTCAATATAAGCATCATGCATATATGCATTTACATTTCTCAGGTTTAATTTTACTGAGGATTGAAAGATATTGTCTATTTACAAATCTGTTACAAATCTTGGCATATATGAGCAATTTTAGCTTTCACGGCAAGGATTGCTTTTAGATTTCAAGAACATTCAACAAAATGCAGATTATCATGGTTGAGCAAGCGCTAGCGTCTACTTCAAGCTTCATGCGTTACCTGCGGCTTTTGCATGTCCTTCAGCCTCTCTTCAACTGCGACCTTGAGGTCAAGGGGCGCAGTCATGATCTCAGCATAGTTGTCGATGAGAAAAGAAACAATCTGTCGGACGAGGAGTTCATCCATGTCAGCTTCTTCATGGGAACTCAAGATGGTGCGCGTGAAGGTATCCAGTAGCTGCAGACAGATAATCATGGTCAACTCAAACTGCTCGATCACTACTGCCCTTTTCCCATCCTTATTTCATGTGTCTCAATGAGGGTGTCAGCAAACGTGCAGTTCTAGCTTGTTTGAATCAGTGAGTGAGTGAGTTTAGTTTTACACGCTTTTTAGCAATATTCCAGCAATATCCCGACGGGTAACACCAGAAATGGGTACTAAAAGTACTAGAATCTGTACTTTATTGTTAAAGTGTTATCCAAAATATAACATATGTTACCAGACATGGGCTTCACACATTGTACCCATGTGGGGAATCGAACCCGAATCGGCGTCACAGGCGAACACTTTAATCACAAGGCTACCCCACCGCCCCTTGTTTCAATCAGACGATTCATAAAACATTACATTCTTAAACATTCCTTAACAAAAAAGTACCATGAGAGCAAGCAATTGTTTATTTCTATCCCTGAGATGGACAAGTTGTCTGTCCACCATGCCTCTAACCATCGACCAGTGTGTTTCTCCCAGAATGTAAACGCTCACCAGCTGCCTGGTAGTCTGTGTCCTGTCCAGACACAGCTCCTGGTTGTGACACATCTTGTACATCAGCTTCAGCAGCAGCTGCAGACGGCGGCGGTTGGCCGGAGGCAGCAGCAGGCACACCAGGCGCAGTGCTCGCCGAGTTCGCTCCTCAGTGTCCTCAGACCCCACTGGAAGACATTGGTTTAATAAATGTACGTGCCATGATGGATAACTATAGTAATATTAAATAATCATTAGGTCCTAAAGTTATTAGGTTAAGCATACATCTGTACACCTTCCATAAAAGCAATATTATTACAAATTAAGAATAATGGCAGAATATGTGTTTACACGAGGAAATATGATTTAGTTAGTGATTTAACTATTGATTAATATAATATATTGCAATGAGCAGTTAATCTGGGGTCAAAAAGCATTATGTATGCAGGAATAGCAGTTTGCTGCACCACATTTCTGACTCACAGTTAAGGAAAGCCGATCTCCGCCATCTAAACGATGATGAACCAGAAGTATTCTTCTCAGGAGAGTTGAGATCAGCCATGCTAATACTGGGGCCATGGAGTTCAAAAGTGTTTTTATCAGGAATTCTTGACATGGTTTTAGGAGCTGAGTGGGCCAGTCCAGGAAGATCTGGGGAAGAGGCACTTTGCATCCGACTGCTCCTCTGCAGCTTGGCTCCATCCAGGACGGGTTTATGATTTGAACAGACAGAAGAGGTATTCCTGGCTGAGGATCGGGGAGATGTAACCCCTGGCTGATCGAGTAGATCGGGCAGAGTTGTTGCCACTGTTCTGACTTCTCACAGAATGGAAGCTGTCTCTCTGGGAGGGGGGTGTTTCATAGAAGCCACTTGAATTTGCAGAATAGTTGTAACAGTAGTCTGTTCCGCGGTCAGTACGGAGGGGCTCCATGTTGAGTCGTTCCAGTGACTGAGCACGTTCAAAGTTAACTTGGCTGCAGTTGCTGGCTGATGATGAACTTGTTTCTGGCTCCATGTCAAAATGAGTTTCAAGTGGCATACAGCTCTCCTCCAAACCATAGCCACAATGTCCATAGTCTGTTGCGACTCCATTCGTGTAGAAAACCCTTGTAACTGTCTTGTTCTCGGGACCAAAGGCTGTCTCGTAACGTGTGACCTTCAGCTCAGGGCTCGATCCGTACTTCTTCTCAATATGTATGTTAGTGCTTTCTGCAGCAGGGTTAAAGGTTGAAAGGTTAAGGGTTGAGGAGCTCTGCAGACCAAGCCGATGCTGGTGTGGGGAGGTGTCAAGGCCAGTGCTTCTGACGATATCTATGAGCAGGTTTTCAAGCGATGCATACGACCAGGTGGCTGACTTGGGAGTGGACCGGTTACTGGCGTTACTCGGGGACGAATGACGAGGCAGACGGTTCTCGGATTGCACTACACATGCCGAAAACAGCATGCAGCATGCAATGGAACAAAACACAAACATCACATCAACAACTTGCATAATTCAGAGTAACAGAAACTGACTCCGCGAAAAGCTGAATAACGCCCCCCTGACTGTTAATACTGCGACTAGAAAGCTTTGGTTTGGCATAGCTCATAAAGATGACAGACAAGACCATGTGAAGGGCCAATGAGGACCAAATCATTTGTTCTTTTAGAATAGTTCATAGCATGAGTTTGCATAGTTACAACATTTGTGATCATATTCAAATCGGATCAGTAATCAAACTTCATAATATCAAGCCCCTGGAGACTGAATGGGCACACTACATGCAAAATGAATGTTGAAAGCAGAACAAGAATTTATCTTCCTATGATTGGCCTCAGAGTTTCAAAACTAGGAGAGGTCTCCAGTCTAAACAAATCCATGCAAACATATATATACGACTTGAAGTAAAAACACTGAATTTGTTCATACCACTACTGGTGTCATTACAGATTGCCTGTAGTGATAGGAAACAATCAGCTGTTCTTTACTTCTTTTGAGTAGCATACTTCAAGAAGATGCTCATCAAGCAATGACATAAAACATGTTAAAATGCATTCTATATTAGTGAGTGAGTAGCAATGTAAGCCAAATAGTTGCAATAAATACATGATCACAATGAAGCAACAATGACAAATACGATTACAGTTTAAACTAATTTGAAAAAAGACACAACTATTAGGATTTCACATGCAGGCAGTAGACGTAGACAAGTACAAGTCAACATGATCACCTTCCCTTATGTCGGAAAAAATATATTACACCACTTTTAATAGGCATGTCCATATCTTTCCATAGCACACCAAACAGACAGATGCCTTTTGATAAACAACAAATATGCACCATTCAGTATCAAAGAACAACTTATAATGTTCAAGATTCAAGTTATTCAAAGGCAATATTGACTGCACTTTGCGCTTGACAATATTTCTAAGATGCAAGATGACTCCCTATGTCACTTGGCACATTAATGGACGAAAAGCAAGGCGTCCCATACAAATACATTTGTGTAAGGTTGCAATCAGTTAAACTGTGTGTACTGTTACACACAAGGAAGGACAACCGTTGTTTGAATCTATATGTATCAAAGCTTGCATGACTTGTAAGAAAGTTCAGGGTGTCAGTAGGGGACTTTCTTCCACCTAATATTAGAAGCCTATCTACGATATGAACCATGCTAACATGCTTATTGTTTCTGAGCATTCCAAAAGATACACCATGATGAACTTTTGGATATCACAAGTCGGCAACCCACTACCCTTATGTTCATGCCTTGGACCAAAATGTACACCAGGATATGAAAAAATAGACACACCCAGGTATGTCACTGCTCAAAGTCAATCATGGAGTCAAATCTACAGTTTCAGGTCATATGGGACATTGTAGGACATGCTTATTTATCATTGTCAGCCACAGGAACAGATGCAACTAAACAATAACAGACAGCTCTTGCTCAAATACAACAAGAAGAAAATGTGTTTCTGAACACAATTACGTATTGTCATATATGATTCAGAGGGTCTACATGGTATAATGACTTATCAGAGTTCCAGATAAGATTTAGCTCATGTGGGTACTGTACCCACTGTAATTTTTTGGAGTGGGTATTATGAATGTTGAGTGGGTATTTCATTTTCCGTTACCCACTGCTTTCAAATATGTGTGTATTTCAGTCATTTTACTCACCTAAGTATTGTCATTGAGTAAGTTTACTAAGCAGGTATGTCCTGCCTTATATCATACCTAATCAAAACCAACTTAAATATAATGGAAATGATTTCATAAAAAAATCACTTATCCAATACTGACAGTACAACACTTGTCCTATACTAACAGTACAACTTGATAGCAATCGATGTCTTTTTCATTACGCAAGCGATTTCTATAAATATATTCTGTACGCATTTGTTTTAAACTTTTTGTGTATCTAACATTTTAAATGCGTAATTGGTACGCAACAATTATTTTTCAATGCGTAATTGGAAATTTTCTATGCGTATTTTACCCAGATACGGAGCTTATCTGGGCCTCTGACTTTTTAATAGTAAAAGCATGAATTTGTTTCAAAATGGTACATGGCATCATGGATTTACAGATTTATAGCATTTATGACAGCCTTGCATCTCTTTCATGTTTGAGTACATTTCTACTACAATTTAGATCTTGATGGAGCAGTTATTCTTTAGTCTGTTGTTCTATACAGGTCTTTTATAATGGGTATGTATGAAAACAGAAACTGCTATCAAAGTTTAAATTGTATTAATATAAGTTTCATCATTATGTCATGCCAGTATAAGTTCTTGGCTTGATTATTACAGTTAAACATGTACTCACCAAATACATTTGTGATGACCTCATACATCTCAAAGGTCATCAGTGGTTCTGCCAGACCACAGAAATAGTCCTTCACCACTCCAAACACATCCTTCTCAAAACCGGGGTAACTTGGCAGATTGTCATCAACTTTCTCAGGCCCTGAGGAAACATTCATGTGAGTTAAATCTAAATCAGGATTATTCATCTAAGAAAAATGTCTTAATTCACAATAAACCTGGTAAAACACATGCATGACAACTTATGTTGCTGCTTAAGGCATATTATGGACCCCAACGACACCATTCCTGATAAAAAAGATATATATGATATGGTGAATCTTTTGATAAGGATATTCCTTTCATTCCACAAAATACCAGACTGAAAGCTTACAAAATATGAATGCAAAAAAATCGAACTATCCCTTTCAAAAAATGAATGGGGTATTTTAAACTACTCACAACGAGCAAGGCACTTCATTGCAGACATGGCCCAGTGAGGCAGTTGATCTGAAAAAAATCAAACAATGCAGTCATACATAATTCATTGTTACAATCTTTAAAGTGTTAGAATTAACAACCTTTAATAAACCATCTTGACACAATAAACACAAGAAATATGAAGAGTACCTTTTGCCTCGATGTTGGTGACAATGCCACTCTTGTTGACGTACAGACAGTTGTGATGGATGTTGCGCCCACTGACGTAGCTGCTGTCAAGGATCTCACCGAGGTCTATGGTACCCAGTGTCTGCTGTAGCCTGGAGAACATAAGCACGGAGGTCTTGGGTCAAATACTGCATCAAAATGCTTTGACGTTGTGAAACGCCACTGAAAACATCAATCACTAGATTGCCTGGTCCAGACTTAAAAACTGGCTGCCATCATAATCATGTATACTGGTGAGTGTCTCTGCTTGAGATACCATTCCATTTTCTGGATCCACAACCCCAGTTTTTGAAGATACCCAAATAATAACTATAAATTCAAGTGGAGTGATAATGAAGCATCATAATCCATAATGACTTGAATCAATATCATTTTCGCTAGAAATGTTGTGAAATGTTTCATCACTAAAGAAACAGTTTGTGACAGTATTGCCTTGATCTGCATGTAACATTTTCACTAAGCAAATATATCACAGCAGCATTGAAGACAACCAGTGTGGACCACACAAAAGTACAGAGGCATTCAACATTTTAGTCAACTCTTACAAGAATGCGTCACTAGAGGTTTACTCAACCAAGAATTTCCATTGAGAAATTTGTATCTCAGTCGAACTGACATAAAAAGCAGGGCTCGATTTAGGGGATGTTAACCTACTTGCACCAGGTGCAACCTAAGATAAAAACCTAGTTGCACAAGCTAAATTCCAGTTGCAATGTTGTGTGCTAAAACGTCAGAAGGTTTGGTGCACATAAATATATTTCCGTGACGTAGTACCCATGAAATCATAGCAACACAGATACGCAGCTGATCCCTGTTTACAAGAGCTGTCATAGCCGAGAAGTGTCTATAAATGGCAATGTTTCGGTGCCATAGCTATTCAAAGTTTAGAAGAAAAATGAACTTAGATTTGTTATTGATTTATTTCTCAAAAATTGACTTGCACATGGTGCACTTTTGACTTATAACTTGCACGTTATGATATTAAGTTGCACCAGTGCAAGTAACAAAGCACTAAATCGAGCCCTGAAAAGGGATCTTTGAAAGTTTCCATATTTTATGGGGGCTCAACTAAATATCACATAATGCATTTATCCTAATTTACCTGTGCAGAGTGAGACTCTTCCAGACATCCTCTATCTCTTCAGCCGACAGTACGCGGCCCACCAGGTGGCACTCCTGTAGGAGGGGCTCGGGGAGGTTTGCTGCCAGGTCATTACTTGACCCGATCTTTGACTCTCCATTCAAATAGTTTGCGCGAGGAACAAGAACTGGGCGTGAGGGACGAGGTGGCGATTTGTAAACAAACCTGAAGTAAAGACATATCAGCTGTTGAAGATACAAACTTGACCAAAATGATTTGAAAAGAATGGAAAATAACCAATACAAATATATTAGTTTGTCACGGAGAAAATGAAATGAGTTGCAGATTATACAGGATGTGTCAAACCAACCCTATATCAGTCCTCTGGCCTTAAGGCTGATATCAATATGGGGTGTGATATGAAAACTGACATATACTTATAAACCAACTTAAGATGACCGGTATGTTCGAACAATCAACCGAACCAGACACTGTCAATGAGCCATATCAATTGCCAGAACATGAACTAAATCTAAAAATAACCATGTGAAAATGTAATGTATATTTTAAGTCTCAATCTCTTTCCTAACAACATCTAATCTATTATATACTATGTAAAATAATACATGGTCCAAGGAGACATGGCATTGAATCACTGCCAAAGCAAACAAATATTCAATATTCATACAGCTGTACCTAATTGTGTGTGAAGAGAAATGTGGCTATCATTTTCTCATCAGCGATGTGAGGATGGAGTTATCTCAGATTCCACACTAAGTGCCCTTGGCAGGAACATTGGTATAAATCATTAAAATTCGATTTTCTAAAAGGTTTATATTTTCTTAAATTAAGTGGGGTTTTTAACAATGCATACTGGATTTCAATTTGGAAATATTTACTTCTTTTAACACCAGACTTCAGCCTCAGCCTAAATGGGTTTTGGGTTGCATATAAATCCTCTTCTGTATTGAAATACAAGCCATCAAAATAGTTGTACTACTATACAGTTTATATTTATAAACATGAAAATGGAACATTTATTTTGGAATTTATACTGTCATTTGCTCTTCACTGTGCTGGGGCCAATTATTGGCCTTCAAACAGGTCCAGATAAATCAATGGGCATATCACTAAAGAATGAAGTGTAATGTCATTACACATTGTCTAGATTAGATTAATCCTGGTACCATGTTGAACCAGCGCATCAGTGAATCAGTCAGCTCTAGTTTCATACAACAAATGCATAAAGTGAAACAATTGCTGATCTGAAAATCCAAGATGGCTACCATTCTTTTGGGGTCTGTAGTTGACTCACCTTTTTATCCTTGCTGACATTTCAGACAAAGGCATAATTCAAAAGAGTTATGTCCCACTTTGGAAGTAATGCTTCAATTACTATTCTGTATCATGTAAATGCTTTAGACAAAAATCTATAAGCAGTTTTACATTGACACAAAATGCAACAAACATTTCCGGCAAGCGACAGCACTCATCCATGCAACAACAAACAATCATCCCACTGATGCAAAAGTCACTGAACCATGACAGCACGGTAATAATGGACAAGAAGAAAATCAATAGAAGATGCTTTAAAAGTGATTTGAACCAAAAAGCATTGCCAAAAGCAAGACAAGTTTGTTCATGAATAATTTATCAGATTCTTAAATTACTCTTATGAAACAACTGATTAAACATGTTGAAACAGCATCCCAATTTCTCATGGCCATCACAATATTGGAAAATAAACTTTCTGAAAGGAATCAATGGAGCGAGACATACTGTCGCTGATTACATACCATTAGACATGACAGATGTGGAAAACTGCTGTGTAGCACAAGTTATTGACAAACCTATTGATCTGACTGCACACTTCAGACACTCAGGTAGCCTGGGAAGGAGTCATGGAGTTCTGATTACTCTCAGTTCTAGCAATGTAGGGTACACTTCAAGGATTGATTTGTGACTCAACCTAAATCATGTTCTTCTCAGTGTTGTATGAAGTTCGTCTTTTAAGAACAGATTTCTTTCCACAAATCCCAAATTTGAAGATTCTGTCATCTTTATAACAAACCAAAGGAGAGTGAGCGAGTGAGTTTAGTTTTACGCCGCTTTTAGCAATATTCCAGCAATATCACGGCAGGGGACACCAGACCAAAGGAGTGGGACTACTTGACCAATAATATTTTCTGGAAGAGTTTCAAAAGTTTATCCTATTAATACAATACGGCAAGTAAATATTTTATGAATGTGAATATCTAAGTTAGGAAGATTGAAGCTCATGATGTCAATCACTGGGTAGTACGTATAGCCCAGTGTCCAGTATTTACAGGTTGCTTCATATGTCTGAATACCACTGAGTACAGCATTCAACAACAACAAAACAAAAAAGAATTTGGAATAAATCTGTTCCATCTCTGTCCCCACTGATTCATTTGAACTAGTGAGTGAGTGAGTGAGTTGTGTTTTATGTTGCTTTCAGCAATATTCCTGCAATATCATGGCAGGGGACACCACAAATGTGCTTCACACATTGTACCTATGTGGAGAATCAAACCCGGGCTTTCCAGGAAAATTATATTACGTAACCTGCACAGTTTATCTTTGATTGTCACTGGAACCTCTAGGCTCTGAGCAGACACATGTCAGTTGGTTTACAACTCCGATAATGGAATGAGATGTGTTAGGCTGCATTTCATTCTGCACCAGACACATGTCAGTTGGTTTACAAATCAGATAATGGAATGAGATGTGTTAGGTTGCATTTCATTCTGCACCAGACACATGCAGTAGGCAGCAAGTAACATTAATACATCAACACACCTACACCAATTTCCTCAGAGCCCATATTGATCAGGCACATTGTCTCCTGCATTTAATATTATAACATACATGAATTACATGATTGAAGGCAATGTTTATCACTACAGTGACTGTTTCTGAACCCATGATGGACAAGACAGTGTAGGCTCATGGGAAGGAGACAGAAATACATTCAATAAATTGTGTCAAAGAACATAACACAGTCAAGAACCTTGGAAAATGTTAGAAAATAGTGTTATAATTCATTCTGCTTCATATTTAGAAGGAATTATCAATCAATTGACACATAAAACCATCCATTTATTAGGGCTGCGCAATATAACCGGTTTACCGGTATTTACCGGTTCAGACATGAAAACGATACGTATTGCGATACGCTGATCGAAAACCGGTATTTTGACTTGCATTCGGAAAACTTTGTAACACTCAGAAATCTTCGGATATTTCCTTGTTTCATTTGTGCCAAATCTATTCAGATTTTTATATTATCATGATTAAAAGTTATTATTAAAGCTTAATCAAGCATAGTGATTTTTGTTGTGTTTTTGCTCTATAGCTCAAGCATTAACCCGATTATAAGTAGTTTTTTTGTTTAAAAATACTTCATGCAACATATTGCAATACATATCGCAATATATATGCTTTCGCATCGCAATATATCGCATTATGAAAATTCTCTGCAATATCCACCCCAACCATTTATACCACATAACATTATAAAAATTATGTATACATAGTTTTAACATAATGTCATATCACACATAAAACTGTGACTGACTGAGCGACTGGTTAACTTCCTGATACATAATCAGGTACAAGTATCAGCGTCATGAGGGAAAGTCATGTACTTTACTAGAATTATGCTCTCTAAAGACATTTGGAGCTTGCATATACCACCAAATAATAAATGATATTTTATAACTTACCTGTAAATTCTGCCATTGTCTGTGAAGTCTGATCGGCCATGTTTGGATGGTCTGACATCCTCAAAGACTCCTGACTTGAACAGCTTCTTCAGGAGTTGCACTGTCTGACACCTGCAATACATAACAGAGTCAGTCAGCTGATCAGCAAACTTGGAAAACTTGATTACATTCTAAGTTCAGAAATGAAATCTATCACTTTCAGGACAAAACATTAACTGTTACGAACATGATTTCTCTACAGACCAGTTTAAAATCATGCACAATGTATTTGTTAACTGTGGAATATTATTTTGAAAAGACTTGTAATATATGATCATGACCTGCAACTGATTTTCAAATAGTCACTACAATTTGTAGGTAAGGGTGACATTTGGAATAATGAAAAAGATGAGCAATCTACTAAAGTTTCTACTCTTTCCAATAATTAATTTTTCCTTTTTTATATCAGTGCTATCCTCAAAGTCTTACAAAACTCCACTAGCCTCAGGCAAAGATGAATGTCAAACTGAAAACATGCTTTACAATAAATTTGTAGTTAAATCAAATTTAAAAAGTACAAATATTTGTGTATTCCAGATTGAATTACTGGCTACTTAATGGAAAATATTGTAAATTAATATAAAACATGCCTGAAAGTATTTTTGTTAATTACAAATTCCCCTGTATCATGTTAATAGATGTTCTCAAAGTTATTTACTGATACCACTACTTAGAATATAAAACCATCAAAGATTAAGCTATCAGCAGTGTAAACAACCATGTCCCCAAGAGATAAGATAATCCTATTACATTTTGAATACCAGAGGCACATGCTATATAAAAACAAAACAACATTACACAATAAACTTTGATCAATACTAATTCTCCCTATCAGGCCATGCTTCACTGATCACATCGTCATGGTCCACTGAAAACAAATGCACCCCTGGGGTCAACATCCTCCCTTCTCAACCAGCATCCCTAACCCAGGGGTTCATTAGCCACAATACATGTCATGCTCTGTGGGACATCACACTGTAGTCTGGCATGATAATTTGAAGCTAAAACAATCACTTTCAATGCTTTCACATGTGTTACATAACATCTTCTGTAAATCTGGTTCACACCTGAAGGGCACACTGAGTGGACTGACACCCTACTGAAGTCAATGTTGTCTTACTTGCACTGTCTATAACAAATGCTTTGAATACCTTTCAGGCTTAAGCTTTGCCAGATATCCTGGGAGTGTGATAATGATATGTTTTTGACACTCATTGAAATGCATAAGGTAAATTGCAATTGGAATGAGTGCAGGTGGAGATTCATCTTTGAAAAACAAAAGGTGTGGTGTGTATAATGACACCATTCAGAAGAGATCAATGAGCAACCTGTTCATTGTTTCCCGCGGTGTATGTTTTCATTAAGTTCTCAATATTGTTGATTAAATGCAAAACACACATGTAATAAATTAAACTTTATAGCATACAACAAATAGATACTCATATCAATCTTACATTTACAGTCAAGACGTCTTACCGAGTGACTTCTGGACCAAAATTGGGATTACATCTTAGGTGTTTCAAAAGCCAATCAACAGCTCCTGATGCCACAAAGCAGTTGTCGTATGTTCTCATGTATCTTCGATGCCGGCCACATGGCATGTCTTTCCGGAATGTATGAATAATTTCATTCCACTGTTTAAACAAACCAAAATGAAAAGATTAATTAATTTAAACTATCAAGAATTTTCATTAGCTCTGAAACGTCATGAAAAGAATAAAAAAAAGAAGTTGTTAAAACATGTCATGTATTCATGTTCGTCCAACTTCTAAATGCCTTTCAAAAACTTTGTATGCTGTCCAGCCCTACATACAATAAATATATGGTAAAATTATTAGACCCTAAGGTTTCAGATCATTTCATTTTCTAGAACTGACTGTGATCCAAAATGTCAACAACAAAAATCAAAATATGGTAATGATATCTAGGAATATGTCCTAACAAAAATGATAAAATCATTAAAATTGTTTTCGCTCTTTGTCTCAATCAAAGTGACTATCCATGCTGGTGAAATTGCTGAAGAAAAAGTTAATGTAAAAACGTGTTATTTCTATGAAGCTACAGAGTAAAGAAACATTAGAGACATGTGCTGGACGATAAAAAACGGTTCAGGTAATAACAGTTAATTCAAAATCGTCGTCCACAATTAATTAAGCTTCCTGTCTGAACTGCAGGCCCCATGATCATCCCCATGTATAGTTCTTGTCACTACAAACATTAGGGTAGACCAACACTAGATTAAAGTACGTGTCAGTATGGCTCATTAGACTGCAGTCTCCATCATGACAAGTAACTACCATGTTCCAAACCTGTCGATCAAGATTTATATTCAAAGATGCAATCTACACAGATCTAAACCTAAGCTTCATATATGAGTCTATGACGGTGTGTTCTCTGCTAGCGACGAATAAACAAATCGATTTGCTCTAAGAATATTTACATATTTAGCTGCCTGATTCGCAGATCCAACATACCAACTTTGTAGCCCTGTATGGGCCAATGTAGACATCTGTATCCTGCTTCGACGAAATATCCATGGTCAAATGTGTCCGAAATCCTGGGCTAATTCATGCCACCTTGACGGGCACCTGCTGGCCATTCCATCCTACACGCTGACCAAGCACGTTCAAATCACCCTCTGTTATGCGATTGGTTGATCCTTCCGGAAGCCCATTCTGATTGGTGCTTCTATTGTCAGTGTAAACTTCCGTCAATATCGTCAAAATGGCGACGATGGAAGGTCCACTAAGCAAGTGGACAAATGTAATGAAAGGATGGCAGTACAGATGGTTTGTCTTAGACGAGAATTCCGGCATACTGTCATACTACACCGTACGTTGACAACAAGCACCGTTATTGACAGTGATTTTAGTTGTGGAGAAAGTTAATTACTGTAATTGTCTCGTGATAGCAAGAGGTGTCAACTTTGACATGCATGTCCCTGAAAAGCATTGGTGCATTTGCCACGCCTCCCTGACGGTGTCATTAATATGCTACTGATTGTGATTACGTAATTCTATGACAACAGCACTGGCAACATCTTTTGGGTCGTCCACAATGGATATTTATGATTAAACGTATTAAGATTAAAAATGATTATGAATGAATATCAACGAAGAATCACCAAGTGCTCCGAATTTGAAGAGATTTCGATTTTAAACCATACACTTCAATTGAAACAGCACTTCAATCACAACCTTTTTATTATAATATGTACAAGCATACACACATATATAAATGTTATTGTTGTTTTTCATATAATTTCTTATGTTAGTTTGTGAGTTGTATAATTACAAAAATGCTCCATATTTATTCATAAGAGAGGTTATTTAATGATGCATGCACCCATACTTAGGTTGATATCAACGTTTGGTAAGAGTTGTCAAATTTAGCATATATGTCCGTGTCTAGAAGATAAAAGCCAGTCTGATTTCTATATTAGACAGCAATATACCTGAAAATCTGTACTTTTTATTTTCAGTCCAAAGAGAAAATGATGAGGGGATCAAGTAGAGGATGTGTTAGATTAAAAGTAGGTACATTCAATGTGGAATACCCAAGTATGCTAGTGTTAATATTTCTTATCAAAGATTAAATGAAGGTTCATTTTTAGAAATAATCATTTGCTAATCATGCTAACTGAGAAAAAAATCCTTTTTTATCCTACTGACTATGAACATAGTGTAAACATTTGTAAGAAGGCATATATATTGTGTAAACTTAAGATCTATATTTGTTACACACTCCTTGGAACCTAATTTTGCCCCAGTAGGTATATTGACAGAATATTATTTTGATTATGCTATTGTGATGTATTTTTCCAGGGAGCTATAATTGGAATAGATGATGAAGATGACAGTACATTTACAATAACAGTGGACCAGAAAACCTTCCATTTTCAAGGTATGAAAAAAGATGTGTTATCAGCTTGAATCTTAATTTACATCTTGCCTTAACATACGAGTTTAAATGAAGTCTGGTATGTTTAAATGTATTAAAAATCTAACTGATGTGAGGAATATTAAATAGGATTGATTTTCCCTTTTACCATAATTATTATGAAGGATATGATCGGTTTAGAAAATAATTTGAGAATGTAATATTTATAGTACATGATGTTATGGATGTTGTAGCCCGTGATGCTGATGAGAGAGAACAGTGGATAGCCAGTCTGGAGAACACTGTGTACCGACATTCTCAAGCTGGCAAGGTATGACACCAGATTACATCTTTTCTGTTCTATATGCCTTATTAATACCTTGGTTGCTCAGAGCCGGGAGAAATAATGACATAACAAAGCCAAAGGTGCAGATCAGTTTGCCATATCTAATCAGCATCTATGATGAAGTCAGGTCAGTTCTGTGTGAGAGCTGTCAGGTTGCCTAACAACTTATGATTTGACTTGTTACACTAAACGCCCAGTTCTATTCCCTACATGATACAATGTGTGGAGCTAGTTCGAGGCATTCACTTCACTGGTATGGCAGGAATACTTTAACAACAGTGTTAAGCTTTCCTCAAACAAGCTACCCTCTTGTCGTTTTACAAGTTCAGAATAAGGACTAACATTAGAATAATCGTTAACATTTAGGTTCAATATGCTTGTGTGACTGAATGCCATACATGATGTAAGACAATAATGTCAATCCAGACAAGAAAAGAGTTGAATAACCATGTTGAAAAGACATTCATGCTCTTGAAAATACTTAGCAAAATGTTTATACACTAGATTTATCACAGACCCTTCAAACTGTCCTTTCCAAACAGTGCTCCAGACATAGAGCAGGACAATCAAGATAGGCTGGACTAACCTGTTTACATTAGTGATCACCTTACTCTTGTATCTGAGTGCTGATTAGAACATTGTGTGGGAGAATATTGGCCAGTCTTACAAGATTACCAGAATTAGTCATCGTTGGTGCTATGATGTTACATTCTTAATAAACAATGCAGAGTTAAGTGTTTAGTTTGCTTCTGAACATTAATGAAATATTATACATTATAAATATATAGACAGACATATATATATATATATATAATAAAAAATATGTGTATATGTATATGAAAATGCATATGTTGTATATACATTTACAACAATAACTATAAATTTTGATGCTCACTTTACCTTTGAATTTTTATTAAGGATGGAGAATATAACTTCATAAGAAAAAATATCATCAAATATTTTTTATGGTTCTTCTGTCTCTTCATCTGAGCTCAATAAGATCATTATTTTTCCATGTTTGGTATTCAAATTATCTAAAAGATTAACCAATTTAGCTTCACAGTCACTATTTTCATGGAGTTTCAAACTCACGTTGTAACGTATATCAATGTATTAGCAAATGATTACCCTAATTAGTCAGATATCAGTTGCACACATGACACTAATTGCCAGACCCATGCTGAGACTTCAATGGGCATCAGACCGTGACATTACTCCTTAAATATTGAAGTATATTTGTAAATATTTGGCATTATCAGACATCATGTTTGTCTTAGAATTAAACAGAAATTACCAGAGCAATGCTTGCATGGATGTTCTTAGTGTGAGTTCATTTATCAAGTTTGTTTCCAAATATTAAAACATTATGCATTGCAAAGGTAAATGAACTCCATTCAACTAATGAATGAAAAAAAATGAAAAGGCGAAATAACTTGAATTTAGCATCCTCATTATGAAGATTTTGAAACTGGTTTCCGCAAATGCAAAAATGATGTATTATTTATTAATATTTCTTTAGGTCATGCTTTGGCATCAGTGTGATGATTTTAAGTTATATATTGTATTGTGAGATTTGTTTGTTTGAGCAGAAGCTGGAAGTTCGCCATGCCCCGAGTCTTGAGGACTTTGACCACAAGCTGATGGAGACAGATACCTACCTCCAGATGCTTATAGACCAAGTCCAGGTGAGTGGACAGTAGTAATTTGTAGTTTAAGTCTGCACTCAGCAATATTGCAGCAATATAACAGCAGTCTGAATACGATGAAGTCTGGTTTTCTCTAGGTATAATATGGGTCTTATTTGTCGTAAGCGTATTTCAGGTATGTAACATACAGTTGTAATGATGTTCAGAAAAGTGCTATTAGCCTTGATACTGATTTCCTGAGTAGAAGGTCCACCTGATTTGGTCATGTTGGAGAGTTAGTCAGATCTTGAGAGAGGTATTGAACAAGGGGGAAGGTCACATTTCATTTTACCTGATCATAAGACAAACATGTGAGCACCACCATGTGGACATTAATGAATTAGTGAGGTCATGGCAAACTTATCATATTGTTCACTTCTAAATTTATACCTATCACATGACTCAAGCTTTGATCATGTTGATTTAGACAATTTGGTAAACAATGTGATATATTTATCTGAATATTGTAATCTCATCATCTAATATGTGGTACTAATTGCAAACATTGCCCCGGAAAATCAGTTCTATGTAAAATTGATTACTTTGCTGTAATAACTTTCAGAGAGTATTTTGACCATATTTTCTGAGAAGGTAGACCATGTGAGGAGTTATTGTTTTGGGTTTTACACTGGTCGAACGGCATGGGGAACTGAACTGTGATCTATGGTCTGACAAGCCAATGCTGAGTGGATGACAGGAGTTACCTCCCTTTGATTATCTGCGTCTCTGTGTTATTTATATTGATTATGGATTGGGGTATATATAGTGTGTCATTCAGTTTACTGTGAGTGTCTTTGTCACATGGTTTTGTGTGATGATTCTACTGCAGTGTAACAGATACATCACTGTACTTCATCAAGATTTCGTTAACCATGCTCCCTTCCTATAAATCAGCCATCTATGCTTGTCACCAAAGACAATAACAATAACTTGGCGTCACCATACCCCCATGGGTGTGGCTTTTGGCTCATTATTTCAATGAAGGCTTGCTCTGTCCTGGGTGGATTATTCATACTCATATACCTGGAATATTGTCGAGAGCACCAACAAGCAACCAGTAAAATCCCCGAAAAAACTTATATATGCCCATATTTGTTACCCATGCCTGGTATCTGAATCAGCCAGTGACAGTAACAAGCAAGTTGAGGTGTTTTAACAGCATAACTGTGAATTATCAATTTTTTATCCCCTGCAATGCGTTTTGCAGGGGGTATTAAAATGGACTCCGTCCGTGCGTGCGTCCATCCGTCCTCCGTGCACATTTGTCTTTTCCGGAGCAGAACTCTAAAACCGTTCAGTGTTTCTTCACCAAACTTGGCACATACATAGATCTGGTGGTGTACTGGTGCCTTTTGGTAGTTGTGGGTTTCTGAATAAAATATTTTTTGGCATTTCCATGGCAACAAGTTTGACATAGAGTGAAATTGTGGATAGTGCTCCTTTCTGGAGCAGAACTTTAGAAACCTTTCAATACTCTCCTTCCACTTTTCTATATACACAACTAAATATTTGACATAATCATAACTCGTAGACATAATCATGAAGAGTATTTTGCCATTGCGGGGATATGGATGACTTTGTCTTCTTGTTTACATTACACTCGTACATTGCCAAAATTTATCTTTGTTCATCATTGTTGCATATTACAGGCATAAAGTCAAAGGGTGCTTGGAATAACCCTATTGTTGTATTTAGGGATTCATTGGGTGACGAATTCCAACACTATAGAGGAAAACTTCCACACTGCTAATACTGCTGGTTACCAGTGTTGGGAATCAGTTGGGATGACTGTTATACATTGTGATAATGAGTTTGTCTCCTCCTATCAATTATTGATACTCATTGTTATGTTAACTGTTTATCTTCTTTAAACTATGATTACAGGCAAAAAGCATAGGTCAGCTTAAATTTGAATAAGTGTACCCCTTGGAATCTGTGTGTTGATGAAAAGTACTTTTGATCCATCCCTTATAAAAGTACTTTTGCAATGAACTAGATAAAATACAATTCACCTTCCATTGTATCGAAACTGTCTGTATTCTGCCACATATTCTAACCATGCCATAGCACACTAGGAACATATTCTAACACTGTCTTTATTCTACCACTTATTCTAGCCATGCCATAGCACACTCGGAACATATTCTAGCCATGCCATGACACGCTAATAACATATTCTAGCCATGCCATGACACAATAATAACATATTCTATCCACACCATGACACATTGGGAACATATTTTAGCCATGCCATTACACACTAATAACATAGTCTAGCCATGCCATGACACACTAGGAACATATTCTAGCCATGCCATGCCACACTAATAACATATTTTAGCCATGCCATGACACAATAATAACATATTCTATCCATGTCATGACACATTGGGAACATATTCTAACCATGCCATTACACACTAATTACATATTCTAGCAAGGCTATGACACACTAGGAACATACTCTAATTATGCCATGACACACTAAGAACATATTTTAGCCATGCCATGACACACTAATAACATATTCTAGCCATGCCATGACACACACTAATGACATATTATAGCCATGCCATTACACACAAGGAACATATTCTAACCATGCTATTACACACTAGAAACATATTCTAACCATGCCATTACACACTAGGAGCATATTCTAGCCATGCCATGACACAGTAATAACATTCTAACCATGCCATGACACACTAGGATCATATTCTAGCCATGCCATGACACACTAGAAACATATTCTAACCATGCCATTACACACTTGGAAATATTCTAGCCATGCCATGACACTCTAATAACATATTCTAGCCGTGCCATTACACACTAGGAACATATTCTAACCATGCCATTACACACTTGGAAATATTCTAGCCATGCCATGACACACTAATAACATATTCTAGCCATGCCATGACACAATAATAACATAGTCTAGCCATGCCATGACACACTGGGAACATATTCTTACCATGCATTACACACTAATAACATATTCTAGCTATGCCATTACACACTAGGATCATATTCTAGCCATGCCATGACACACTAATAACATATTCTAGCCATACCATTACACACAAGGAACATATTCTAGCCATGCCATTACACACAAGGAACGTATTCTAATCATGCCATTACACACTAGGAACATATTCTAACCATGCCATTACACCGTGGGAACATATTCTAGCCATGTCATGACACAGTAGGAGCATATTTTAACCATGCTATGACACGCTAATAACATATTCTTGCCATGCCATCACACACACTAATAACATATTCTAGCCATGGCATTACACACAAGGAACATATTCTAGCCATGCCATTACACACTAGGAACATATTCTAGCCATGCCATGACACACTAATAACATATTCTAGCCATGCCATGACACAATAATAACATAGTCTAGCCATGCCATGACACACTGGGAACATATTCTTACCATGCATTACACACTAATAACATATTCTAGCCATGCCATGACACAATAATAACATATTCTAGCCATGCCATGACACACTAGGAACATATTCCTAGCCATGCCATGACACAGTAATAACATTCTAGCCATGCCATGACACACTAGGATCATATTCTAGCCATGCCATGACACACTAGGATCATATTCTAGCCATGCCATGACACACTAGGATGATATTCTAGCCATACCATGACACACTAGGATGATATTCTAGCCATACCATGACACACTAGGATGATATTCTAGCCATGCCATGACACACTAGAGAAGGATGATATTCTAGCCATACCATTAATCACTAGGATGATATTCTAGCCATGCCATGACACACTAGGAAAGGATGATATTCTAGCCATGCCATGACACACTAGGATGATATTCTAGCCATGCCATGACACACTAGGAACATTCTAGCCATGCCATGACACACTAGGAACATTCTAGCCATGTCATAACATACTAGGAGCATTCTAGCCATGCCATTAGACACTGGGCACATATTCTAGATGTACAAATGTAAGATGAAAGTCATGTCATCAGCCTTGAATGTACCACTTGTTAAGAGCGTTGGCCCCTTTCTAGCAGTCAGAGGACCAATGGCCCAGTTTGTAGTACTTACATGCTAACCTGACCAAGGATTTTATTAAAATGGCTGGAGATGGTGTTCATATTATGCGTGAAAGGTTCAGACTTAGGATATCATGAAGATTTGTCATTCTTTAATGGCCCTTTAATCATTTGCACTAAGTAAATAATCTGTGTCTGTTGTGTTTACATGCATGTAAATCACAATATCATTGAGACTTCATGTATAACCCTGTCCTTAATGCTAGTACTCTGATGTAATGGGTAGTCTCCAGTTAAAGGAGCATCAAGTGGCCTTGTGGTTACAGGTTTGTTTACAATGATGCAGGTTCAGTTCTCTGTAGGAGCAAGGTTCATGAAGCTTTGGTATCCCTTGATAATTTTGGAACATTTCTGGAACTACAATTGGTGTTTAACTCTATAAGATCACTCAAGTTAAATCCTGTATTTGTTTTGTAACTTTGGGCTAGCATTTATCATCATCAACCTTTTCTTGTCGTGAAAGATGACTTAAAAGGTCAGGTGATGACAGCATTTCTCATAATATCATCATAATATCAATCACTGTATTGTCTAGTTCCGGTTTGATTATCGACATGATACCATTATACAGATGGATTATTGCAGAGTGAGCATGAAACAACAAACCTAGCTATGACCTCACTCAAGCCAGTGCTGTGTTGAGAACAAATGCAACAGTAGCCCCCATAGACCAATTATCACTTCATTGATTGCACATACAATAGACACAAATGCAGACTGTGAAATATGCATGACCCATAACAAGTACACAGTCCACATCTGCCCTGTAAAATCTACAGCTGATGGCAGTACATACAGCTTCCTGCTAGGCTACTGTAGGAAATATGTATAGTGTTTAATGATAACTTATTGATCCTGTGAGAAGCCACATTACAGGTGCAATGCATACCAGGAAATTGGGAACAGTGATAAAGTAGGTGAGTTTGTGAAGACTTGCCAATGAGAATTGTTATATGCTGGTTACATGGAATTTATTCATTACATATCATAAATATGAAAAATAACATGGCTCATTGTATCTGTGTCTAGATAATAGAAATAGGTGAGGTTGATTAATGGTGTTCATATATATGTGGGTTAATGTGAAGTGTGATGTTGTGTGAGTTTTAAGGTGGGTCCTTATTTTCCTGGGTCTTGTTTGGATGTACACCTACTGGACAGTGTTTGAAACAAATTGAAGTTAGACACACACAAGTGATAGTGTCAGCTATGTAGAAGGAAGACATTGGTGATGTTGTGATGAAGATGGATTGTTTCATGTTTTACAGGCCTTGGAAACACGTATTGAAGACTGTCCTGATGAAGCAGAGAGGGAGAAATACAGTGTCATAAAAGTAACTGCTGATGTAAGTGACATTATGTTAAAGATGTTCAAATGGTCAAGGTTAATGTAAACGTAGGAACCCTGGTTAGGAATTATAACTGAATATGGTTGGGATTGAGTGTCTCACCTGGTGAAGGGACTGTTTTGGAGGGTGAGATGTGTGCATGTTTGCTTGTGTGTGAGATAAGGAAAGAGGGTGGTACAGATGGTGTATGTTTTGAAGGGTAAGATGGGACCTGGTCTTGTTAGGAAGGTGAGATAAGATCTGGGTATGAGGGGTGAGGTCCATTAAGCTGTGTGATTCTGTTTATTTGGAGTTTGAAGGCCTCTGGTCACACTAGGAAGGGTGAGATGGGGACAACTAATGAAGGGTGAGATGGGGCGTGCTAATGAGGGGTGAGAAGGGGTCAACTAATGAAGGGGGAGATGGGGTCTGCTAGGAAGGGTGAGATGGACTCAACTGAGGAGGGGTGGGATGGGGTCCGCTAAGGGTGAGATGGGGCCTGCTAAGGAGGGGTGAGATGGAGTCAACTCAGGAGCGGTGTGATGGGGTCCACTAGGAAGGGTGAGATGGGGTCAACTAATGAAGGGTGAGATGGAGTCAACCCAGGAGCGGTGAGAAGGGGTCCACTAGGAAGGGTGAGATGGGGTCAACTAATGAAGGGTGAGATGGAGTCAACTCAGGAGCGGTGAGATGGGGTCCACTAGGAAGGGTGAGATGGGGTCAACTCAGGAGCGGTGAGATGCGGTCCACTAGGAAAGGTGAGATGGGGTCAACTAATGAAGGGTGAGATGGGACCTGCTAATTAGGTGTGAGAAGGGGTCAACTAATGAAGGGTGAGATGGAGTCAACTCAGGAGCAGTGAGATGGGGTCCACTAGGAAGGGTGAGATGGGGTCAACTCAGGAGCAGTGACATGGGGTCCACTAGGAAGGGTGAGATGGGGCCTGCTAATTAGGTGTGAGAAGGGGTCAACTAATGAAGGGTGAGATGGAGTCAACTCAGGAGCGGTGAGATAGGGTCCACTAGGAAGGGTGAGATGGGGTCAACTAATGAAGGGTGAGATGGGGCCTGCTAATTAGGTGTGAGAAGGGGTCAACTAATGAAGGGTGAGATGGGGTCCACTAGGAAGGGTGAGATGGGGCCTGCTAAGGAGGGGTGAGATGGAGTCAACTGAGGAGGGGTGAGATGGGGTCCGCTAAGGGTGAGATGGAGTCAACTGAGGAGGGGTGAGATGGGGTCCACTAGGAAGGGTGAGATGGGGCCTGCTAAGGATGGGTGAGATGGGGCCTGCTAAGGAGGGGTGAGATTGAGTCAGCTGAGGAGCGGTGAGATGGGGTCTGCTAGGAAGGGTGAAATGGGGTCAACTAATGAAGGGTGAGATGGGGTCAACTAAGGAGGGGTGAGATGGGGCCTGCTTATGCAAGGTTTGGGTCTGTTAAATGTATTGAGGTGGGGTCTGTTTTAGAGGTGTGAGGTTGAGTCTTACCATGGGTGAGGTGGGCTCAGTTCAGCAGGGCTGCGAAGGGAGTCTGTGTAGGGTGGGGTGGGGGTGGGGTGGTCAGTGGTAAGGTTATTGAGATGGGGTCTGTTATGTATGGGGACCAATCAGGTCTGAGAAAGGATAAGTGTAAGTCATACTTCCTGCAGTACTGAAGCAGCACTTTCTTTCAGGTAGCCACACTGACTGATGTTTCTACTGATACCAGAAGTATCAGGATGTTGTTTGTTGTTGCTACCTATGTCAGGAAGGAAGCCAGAATCCTGAGATTGTGTGTCGGACGTATATCCTGTATCCTGTACATGCAGCTTCCTAGTCACTGTGTAGCCATTTCTGTCATGCAGTGCTCTGGTACACTCAACTCATTTACAGCAGGTACACTCAACTCATTTACAGCAGGTACACACAACTCATTTACAGCAGGTACACTCAACTCATTTACAGCAGGTACACTCAACTCATTTACAGCAGGTACACTCAACTCATTTACAGCAGGTACTCTCAACTCATTTACAGCAGGTACACTCAACTCATTTACAGCAGGTACACTCAACTCATTTACAGCAGGTACACTCAACTCATTTACAGCAGGTACACTCAACTCATTTACAGCAGGTACACTCAACTCATTTACAGCAGGTACACTCAACTCATTTACAGCAGGTACACTCAACTCATTTACAGCAGGTACACTCAACTCATTTACAGCAGGTACACTCAACTCATTTACAGCAGGTACACTCAACTCATTTACAGCAGGTACACTCAACTCATTTTACAGCAGGTACACTCAACTCATTTACAGCAGGTACACTCAACTCATTTACAGCAGGTACACTCAACTCATTTACAGCAGGTACACTCAACTCATTTACAGCAGGTACACTCAACTCATTTACAGCAGGTACACTCAACTCATTTACAGCAGGTACACTCAACTCATTTACAGCAGGTACACTCAACTCATTTACAGCAGGTACACTCAACTCATTTACAGCAGGTACACTCAACTCATTTACAGCAGGTACACTCAACTCATTTACAGCAGGTACACTCAACTCATTTACAGCAGGTACACTCAACTCATTTACAGCAGCTTTGAGTAAGGTGCCAGCATAAGTCAGGAAAGGATCTGTAGAGACAAGCTAAAACCACTATTCTTGGTAATTACGCCCATGGTTTGTACTGTGTTGAATCTTGGTCTGATTCCCCAACATCAGCATGTACCATTGTTATGACGCATATGGTGCAGCACAGAAGAGGCGACTAAGGTTAGATGATCACTGGATTGTCTGGTCCAGACTTGATTATTTACAGACCTCTGCAACATAGCTGGAATATTGCTGAGTGCAGCGTTAAAGAACAAACAAACAAGAACACATGCTGATTGGAAGAATCCCGAAACAGCACAGATGAAGAATTATTCTCCAAAAAGTCTTATCAGTTAGACTTGCAAACTTATATCGAATACACCAAAAACTGTCAGTACCCGCTGTGAAAGATTATGTGTGAGTAATAACTCATTGGCTCAAAACATTGAGCCCTGTTGGTGTTGTGCTGGCCTGTTGTTGTATTGTTGTTTATGTGTTGTTTTATGTTGTTTCCAGGGACTGGTCGAGGCAATCAAACACACCATTGTGATGCTACAGATCACCAAGGTAGGACAACAGGCACGATCGTTATACTGCAGTTTCGATCATTTGATAGCCCCACATGAGAAATACTGTTTCAACAAGTTGTTTAAAGATATAGGAATATATGGAGTAGTAAAGCTGTGTCCAAGCCTGATGATTTACTGTGTATGTCATAATATGTAGGCCACCGGGAACAGAACATGCAATGCATGAGACTTCAGTAATATGACTAACTTGTCTAGTTCTATATTATAAAGACTTCTGCAGTTAATTGTGTCTTAGATCATGAATTATGTACACAACAAATGGTGTTTATTACTGACTGTTTAGTTTGATTCCAATGTGTGCTTATCATTTATTTCATATTAGCTCATTATTCATTCATGTATTCATGAGTCCATGCCTCTAGGTTGGCTCAGGTTACATCAATCAACATAATCATCATGGTTCACTGTTACTTACTGTTGGCAAAGTTGGTTGATAATGGGGCCCCTTTTTAGGCATACGGTGTAGTGGGCACCCTCACTGATTCAAAATGAATCAGAATTATAGTTTATGATTGTCTTGTCTGAAACTGATGGTTGATGTGTCTACACCTGATGGTCTTGTCTACACCTGATGGTGGCCTTGTCTACACCTGATGGTGGCCTTGTCTACACCTGATGGTGGCATTGTCTACACCTGATGGTTAATAATAATAATAATAATAATGCTAATTATTGCGCGCTTAAAATGCTGCTCTCTGGCGTTACATTATTACCCTGACAGAATTGTACTTTCAAAGCTGCTTTTAAACGCTTCGCACGACCGTATAGGTCCATACATCCGCTTCTCAGGTACCCATTTTGATCAGCTGGGTGGACTGAGTGCAATAGGACGAAGTGCCTTGCTCACGGACACAACACAGTATGGGACCCTGGTCACAAATTTTAGTGTCTCCACAGGGATTCGAACCCGGGCCTTTGGCGTGAGAGGCCAGCATGCTAACCACTACACCACTGTGCTTTTGTGTACACCTGATGGTTGCCTCGTCTACACCTGATGGAGGCTTTGTGTACACCTGATGGAGGCTTTGTGTACACCTGATGGTGGCCTTGTCTACACCTGATGGTGGCCTTGTCTACTCCTGATGGTGGCCTTGTCTACTCCTGATGGTGGCCTTGTCTACACGTGATGGTGGCCATGTCTACACCTGATGGTTGCCTTGTCTACACCTGATGGTTGCCTCATCTACACGTGATGGTTGCCTTGTCTACACCTGATGGAGGCTTTGTCTGTTCCTGATGGTGGCCTTGTCTACACCTGATGCTGGCCTTGTCTACACCTGATGGTGGCCTTGTCTACTCCTGATGGTGGCCTTGTCTACTCCTGATGGTGGCCTTGTCTACACCTGATGGTAGCCATGTCTACACCCGATGGTAGCCTTGTCTACACCTGATGGTAGCCATGTCTACACCTTATGGTTCCTTTATCTTCACCTATTTGTTGTCATGTCTTTCATCTGTTAAGCATGTTTCTTTGTTTCCAGGAGAGCCTTAAGGAACCAATCTTGAATGGCTCCCCCCATGACCAGCTGCTACTTACCAACGATGCCAACTTCAGCCACTTCAGCGACATCAAACGTCAAGGTAGGTGCCCTCACATCAACAAAATAGTTCCATGTTACACTGTAAGAAACTCCTTCATCGCCAGTAACTGTACCCTTTGGGGGATTTATGAAGCAGAATACAGTCAAATCCCCGATGAATCGAATCGCTGGGGACCAAGTAATAAATTCGACTTATCGATGTATTCGAGACATAGGTATGTCTATGAGGGTAGAAAAAAGGATGATCCAGTCCTAATTCCTCCGCCTAAGCATTTGTTTATCTAATGATTTCCATATCACTAATAGGGGCACCTTATCAGTTCCAGTCTGATTAGCACAGACAGTGATTTCCGTAAAATCACTAATCTGCCTTTTGAACTCACCCGTCAATGGCGGAAAGGTGTGTGCCGCGCTGGTTTGTTAATTGGATCAGTTTGCTACACCAATCAACTTCTCATTGACTGACTTCGGCTTATGTATACAAGATTGCTGTGTTTGAATCTCATGGGACCAAATTTCCTTCTCGAGTCATCGTGTGTATTTATGGGACGAATTCGTGTAACCGGTATTCAAATGATGACAACTATAACAGGGAATGGTCGGGACTGACAGGTACTTCCAGTTATGCATAATATTCGAGACACCGGCATTCGACTCATCGGGATTTGACTGTATGTATCTAAGTCACTATGTGTCATACTTGATAACTTCAGTGTGGATCTGAAGTTGGGACCAACACATTTTCATTCAAATAATCATCCACAGGTTTTCCCTGACATAAATGTTTTGGTTTTTTTTTGTGTGGAACCCCACACTCAGCCATTTTCCTGCTATATGGCGGTGATCTGTAAATAATCAAATCTGGACCAGACAGTCCAGCGATTGATTTCATAAGCATCAATCTACACAATATTTATGGTATACAATCACATGCATCAACCAAAGCCATAAGCCTGACCACCGATCCTGTTAGTCGTCTCTAATGACCACATTGGTTGCTGAATACCAGTTCTCACCCTGATCTTCACAGGCTTACTACAGTGTTAACTGTGATATAGCTGTAATGTTGGTGACTGCAGCATGATAGAACATGGCAACACATGTTGTATTTGGGATTACACTTTCTCTTGAAAAAAACTTTACTCATACATAACTGCCTCTTACCACCATACTGAAATGTGAGCCTGTCAAGCTGACCTATTTCTGAGATTGTTGTTACTGGATAATGTGGATGATAGGCTGATGTTTTTGTGTGAGTTCCCCTGCCCTCATGCACCAGCATCATGTAGTGTTATTCATGCTGTCATCCGCCAGGATTGTGGAGACCAGATTATTCATGAGCCGCCATGATGGCGGTATTTACACATTCTTAACAGTAACGATCTTGGTTAATGTGTTGGGTTTTGATTAACTAGGTGTATTCACTCACAGGGTTTCATTGTATACAGGTGGTCAATACATCAATCACCCTGCCTTGCTTCAGACATTTCCTCCTTCCCTTCATGGTTTTCATGGCTTATGCGTACATACAAGATTATACATACAGAACAAATTAAATCATTTCTATTATAGTCGGTTTGCAGTGAAAACGTACTGATGAATTTCACTTTAAGCAAAAAAAGTAAATCAAATAAAGTGAAATTAAGATTGCGAATCCTCATAATTTTACCTTGCCAATTAAACATGTAAATTGCAGAATTGTATTCAATTTAGGATAAAAGTTGTTAAACAGACGATCATAGATTCAAAAGTTATTATTGGTTTGTATTACAAGGGAGTAAATGCAGTAATTGGAACAGTGATACAAATGCACTTGCAGTATGTGATGAGCGTTAACTTAGTTGAATAAAATTATGAGATTTAGATGTTCAATTGGCAAGGTAAAATCATGAGGATTCGTACTTCTAATTTCACTTTATTTGATTTACGTTTTTGTTTAAAGTGAAATTCATCAGTATGTTTTCACTGCAAACAGACTATAGTTTGAATGATTTTCAACTATTTGTGTTAAATTAATAAAGTGATATACTTACTAATATAGTTAGCTTTCCTGTTCTTTTGTATCAGATAAACTGAAATGAAGAATGTTCTTTCTGATATTCTAATAGTTTGTCATATTTTTTATCTAACTACTTGCACATGTTTAACTAATATATTTTTTTTCATTTCTTCCTCCTGTCCTAACTCCACTCGTCATCTGTCCACTGTTCTGGTCCTCCCTCCAGTTCCTGCTTCCCTGTCCACCGACAACATTGAGCAGGCCGTGGATGTCGCTAATGACGCACCAGTCTCATCCAGTACCTCGCTACCTAACATAGCAATACCCTCCGGTACGGGAAACGTGTAGGGTGGTGTCACTATTGTAGCAGTAGAGCCATACAGTAGGCTAGGGGTTACTATGCACAAAGAACTTAATTAAGCACCCCTGTATTTTTGCAGTGATCCGTTTTCAACACGTACATAAAACTTCTCGTGGTGACCACAATGGCATCTGACCCCTATGATCTTTTGAATCATATTATTATCATGCAAAATTATTGGAATCCATGTTGATTTTATGATGATAATTGCTCACTTTATAAAAAAACACTGATTTCCGTATAGAACTTTGTCTGTGCAAGTCTGTTGAATGTTGAATTTATTGGTGAATGTGAACATTCAACATGTCATTTTGTGTCTCTTACACAATTCATGGTCAATACCGAGTGTAACCTCCATGTGACTGTATGACAGCCAGCATCTCCTCGTCATACCCCCCTATCTGCCTCCTGATCCTCTTCGAAGGGGCAGTTTACACCATTCATCGTGTAAAGCAACTTCCAAATGGGCCAGGTTCTGTACAGGAGGATCCCTTCGTTGCACATGACAATCAATCATGTCCAAGCTATGCTCCAAAGGGTTAAGATCGGAGCTCGTTCAATCGTGAGATATGTCAGGGGGTGCTTAACTAAGTTCTTTGTGTATATGTAGTTGTGCTATACCATTCCAAAATAAGGACACGTGATTTACTGCCTGTTTACAGTTGGGGTTTGTAGACTATGGTTAGTTAGAGTATCGAGGGTGGGGGTGTTGGAGACTTCTTGTTGTCTTATCTGAACATTGGTGAACGGGGGAATTGTTGAACAGTAGCGTTATACTGAGGAAATACTTGCCCCAGTTTGTGAAGGCTCCTAGAGTACTCCATCCAGAATTTACTAGATGGTGCTTATGTCTTTAACAGAACACATACGTGCAATGCCTATGAATAGTTTAGATTAATAGCAGTGTATGTGTTCTGAGCGATGAATATATGTTGATCAAACTAGGAAAAATATTAGTTAAGTGACAATATTTCACCAAATGAGTTAGTGATTGTTTTATTAACTATTTTGGTTTCTTGTTTTCGCTGTTAAATTAAACTAAAATTAGTTAAATGTGATGAAGCAATAGTGCAAACATTGATGAAACTGGAAGGTTGTTATATATAGCAGATACTGGTTTATTGTGTACCTTTTCTCTTCTGCATCTTCTCTGTAAGAAATATGTGATGTATAAAAATGAACATGGACAGTCCTGTAAATGTTCAGTATCAAAGACAACACTCACAAACTGGTCCAGAAGATAGTCATGGGTTTCTTATTGGAGCAAGAAATTGTAGTGTAATTGAGCAAACAGAGCACTATCACCTGTAATAAACTTGGTGTCTATAAACTTTTTGTGCTTCGGGATAGGGGTCAGATGCATCCTGCATATCCTTTTGTCTCCGTCTGTCATCGTCTGCTCTATATTCGGGTCTGAGTAATGGCCTTCCTTCACTGACCTGCTTGTGTGTTCAGGGTCGACCCTGGGGCCGCCAATAGTGACAGACAGCACACTGAATGGAGGGACTGGCATCCCAGATGTCTCCTACTCCAGCAGCGAGGATGAAGAGTTCTACGATGCTGAGGAGCAGAAGTCGTCACAGAAGACCACCCCCGAGTAAGTCTGTGTGGATATGAAGCTTGCTTAAGCTTGTAGCTTGAGCTCCACATCGGGGGGACGTCAGTCAAGATGTGTAGTTAAAATGTCTTAGTTATCAGAAGCATAAATAAGCAACGGCAAATAGTTTGTTTCTTCTGGGAGAAATTCAAAATGTTGACACATGGAACATATTTTTCTCAACGAAAACTGAAATATATGGTTATGATTCATTAACTTAGTTTTGACCATATATGGCCTGCATCCCTTAACTTCAGATCAAAGCTCTCATGACATTCATTCCTAGAGTAATGCATGTTTGGTAATGTGCTTGTTGTGTTCCAGACGTGAACTCTCCACACATATGGTGGAAGGCGACGAGAACGGCGAGACACAAGTCTCACCACCAGTTATAGCTTCCAAAGATGATTACTATGATGGTAAGCATTCTATGTTGTTGTCGATATGGCTCATTAATAAAAAGTAAATAAAGCATATATGAAGAAAATAAGAATTCATGTATCTCAGAGAATGTTTAACTAAACACAAAGATGTCCATTGTTTTGATGTGTAAAGACATGAGTTGGAAAGTGAATGTCGGTTCAACACCACTTTGAACAGTACCTCAGTTTAAATCTTACAAAATTCAGCTTGAAGTTTAAATGCCTCTGTAGTAGCATGTCTGCCGGAAGAGGGCAAGGTTGTGAGTTCCATCTCCAGCTGTGTCATGCTATAAGAATTTTAAAGATGGTACTTTTGTTCCATGGGAGGAACTCAGCACTTACTGACTGAGTACACGGTGTCTGTGTGGTGTATTCAGGTTTCCGTGTGAGTCACGGACTTCAGTCGGCAAGTGCTGAGTTCCTCACACAGAAACCTGAATACCACCACACAGACCCTGTGTGCTGAGATTCTACTCAGTCAGCCAGTGTGTACTGAGTTCCTCCTGACAGAACACCTGAATACACCACACAGACACGTGTACTCAGTCAGCAAGTGCTGACTTCCCCACACAGAAACCTGAATACACCACAGAGACACCGTGTACTCAGTCGGCAAGTGCTGAGTTCCTCACACAGAAACCTGAATACACCACACAGACACCATGTACTCAGTCAGGCAAGTGCTGAGTTCCTCACACAGAAACCTGAATACACCACACAGACACCGTGTACTCAGTCAGCAAGTGCTGAGTTCCCCACACAGAAACCTGAATACACCACACAGACACCGTGTACTCAGTCAGCAAGTGCTGAGTTCCCCACACAGAAACCTGAATACACCACACAGACACCGTGTACTCAGTCAGCAAGTGCTGAGTTCCTCACACAGAAACCTGAATACACCACACAGACACCATGTACTCAGTCAGCAAGTGCTGAGTTCCTCACACAGAAACCTGAATACACCACACAGACACCGTGTACTCAGTCGGCAAGTGCTGAGTTCCTCACACGGTTTAAGTTTTAATTCATTTCTTCTTTTCTTTCAGAACTCTATGATGATTTAGATAAAGAGGACCGTGAGTATTTCATAGACTAATGGTTAACAGACTTTAGAGCTGGTTGTTTTCATGAATCTGATCCTCATTTGTTTTTGTTTCTTGCAGTTATGCAATCATTGCCTCTAATATACGATTGATAGTTTACTGTAGTATTTGACTTACTGCTTGGACTTTGTTTATAACCATGGAACAAACTGAAAGTACATGTCCTTTCTAGACAACCGCACTAGAAGATTTATAGTATTTATGTTTTTATTTCCATTTTTATTATTTCTAGTTATTGTTACAATTGTTATGACATGGTTCCCAAATTAAAGGTTTACCCAGAAATGGTTTTACAGAACTTTAGTGTTACATCAGTACATGACAACACACGATCAATGACAAGGCAGTCAATACATGATGAGTTAGCTGGTCATAGTAGTTACGTAAGTGCAATGTGTGAAGAATCCACTGTCCTATGTGTTGAAACAAGCCTATCTCATTCTTGGATCCTGAATAGTGAGAGAGCTGGCATGACTTCAGTGTTTTCTGATAGCAACCCAGTCTGTACCTGACAAGTGGATAAGGTGCAAGTCACTTTGAATCACACTGAATCTTGCTCTGATATACTGTAGATGTACAGCTAACCTAAACTTATCGTACGATCAAATCTGCCATGTTTGTGAACAACAACTAGGAAAGGTAGCTCAACAATTCCCCAATGCTTCAATCATTTGTTTCAACTCACAGTCAGTACAGATATATTTACGACTTTACATGATCCTAGACATAGCTGACAGATGTGAATGTTGTGTGGATGATATCATCTCTCCTCCCTCAGTGGGGTCGCTGGAGCAGCATGGCAGCATCATCGCCCACCTCCTGTCCCAGGTCCGCATTGGGATGGATCTAACCAAGGTCGTCCTACCCACCTTTATTCTTGAACGAAGGTCATTGTTGGAAATGTATGCTGACTTCTTTGCTCATCCGGATCTATTTGTCAAGTAAGTCAGAGTCAGCGAATGGAGCACAGACGGATTAATGCACAACTTTTATAACAGTACATTTAGTGTTGACAGTGTCAGGTTCTAGTTATCGAGAGTAAAATAGTATTAAGTCACAGATACATAGGCTGACTGTCATACTGACTGTAGAACTGAGTGTAGTGTAGTGTGAAGCAGACCTGTCAACACAACTTCTTGTAAAGTTGTTAACTTTATATTTTTGGATGAATATTTTGGAAATTTCCAATGATATCCTTGATGTACAGCTGTATGTAACAACTCATGCGAGAACCATGGCTGCTAGAATATCCATGGCACACCATTAGATGGGTTCATGAATCTCAGAAAACAAGAACCTGATAAAGACACCATTAAAAAATGCGATCATAGTGCCATGACAGTTGTAGGTCTGTGTTCATAATCTGGACTTATGGTCATGAACCACAGTGTATTTCATAATTGTAACTGACATGATGGATACCTCTGAAGGAATATCAGAGTGAGTAAACCTGTGACCTCATTGTGCAGAGTTGTTGACCTTGAGACTCCCCGTGAGCGCATGGTGCAGGTTGTTCGGTGGTACTTGTCCGCCTTCCACGCCGGAAGGAACAGCGACATAGCCAAGAAACCATACAACCCTATCCTCGGGGAGACATTCAAATGCTTCTGGAACCTTCCTGATGAAAAATCTACGGTGAGTTAGAACGTGACAATATACCAGGTATTTAGAAGGGAGGGTCATCTATGTAGCTGTCAGAGAGAGGTTACTGAATACTCAGTCATACTCCCAGAACTGAAGACCTCCTCTAGCATTTATAGATTTCCTCCCATTATGACTATCATTAGATTTGGCGATAGGCTAGACCAGTTGGTTAAATGTTTGCCGATTTTATTTCAAGTGTAGGTTTTGTTCCTTCAGGTGGAGGGGGCGGTGGGGTAGCCTAGTGGTTAACATGGTTAAAGTGTATCTTGTCACGCCCAAGACCCGGGTTCGAATCCCCACATGGGCACAATGTGTGAAGCTCATTTCTGGTGTCCCCCGCCGTGATATTGCTGGAATAGTGCTAAAAGCGGCGTAAAAACATACTCACTCACTCCTTCAGGTGGTTTAAATGATGGTTTTAGCACACAAGTGATGGTATGGTAGATTTTATTCTTAATCTTTAAGGGCGCTGGGGTAGCCTAGTGGTTAAAGCATTTGCTCATCACGCCGAAGGCCCGGGTCAATTCCCCACATGGGCACAATGTGTGAAGCCCATTTCTGGTGTCCCCCTCCGTGATATTGCTGGAATATTGCTTAAAGCGGCGTTAAACAAAACTCGCTCATTCACTCACTTAATCTATAAATGACATTCGACTGAGTTCTCAGGGGTTATTATGAATAACTATATAATAACTATTTTGTTGAAATTTAATGATTTAGGTTGTACCCAGCTTTAGATACTATAGTTCAAAACATCACTGTTCCAAGGGTTCACAGCATTTCCAACACTGCAGAGAATTGTGGACAGGAATTGCAGTCACACTCCTGTACAACAAGATGTTGCTGGAATATTGTTAAAAATGGTTTAAAGCCTAACTCATTTACTCACTCTGTCAGAATATTTTGAGAGCTTAGACTTACTAAAAATATGATATATGACATAACTGTTCTTAGTGCATGTGATGAATTTGTTCCGATTCATTTGAACAGGAAGCAGTTGAAGATGGTCCTGTTCCCTGGGCAACTAAAGACAGCATAGCATTCATAGCAGAACAAGTGTCTCACCACCCACCCAGTGAGTACTCAAAGGAAACTTATTTGAGAGGCATTTAAGAAGTTGGGAAGTGCAAAAATAACAAGCTTTTATTGATAAAAACTTAATATCTTTAGTCTTACGTTTCAGTGATATTCAGATTATTACTCAGGGGCAGGTAACTTGTGTTGGTCACATTGACCATGTCATAGTGTAATATCACTATGGCAGTACAATAAGTGTCTACTTATTCCATTGTTAAAATGGCTGTGTTGGAATGTTGGTAGAATGTAAGGCCATGTTTAGTGCGGTTATTATCAGTACATTGTCGTCCTTGATGTGATCATGACATGCTCAATATTGTCAGAGGAAATCTGATTTTGTAACACTGACTGACTGACATTCTCAACCAGCTAGTCAACACATTTTGATAAATCGAACCGTATATCATGAAACATTCAAACAGTTTAGCACTCAGTTTTCATTTTGACTAGTTATCATGAAACATGAAGGGTGACATGAAACAATTAGGATAATTAGGAGTATGATTTTCTTTAGTGTGGGAGTATTTACACTTGTGGAGGCACTAAAATCGCTTATTCCTTCCTGTGATCTTCTATGCTAGCACAAAGTTTTGGGACAGAATAGATAATTATGCATAAACCGACGTCACTGCAAGTGTGTGTGGTCATGATCTGTAGTTCTAGTCCTAACCTAGCTGATGTGTTTTTATCATTTTCCGATGAAGTTGATCAAACCTGATGCTATGAAGCACTGGTTTGCCTGACCCACATGTCTCTGTGATTCAGCTGGAATAGGTCCGAGTTCAAAGGCCATAATTACCACTTCCCAAAAGTTCCACTATATAGTTATCCGGGGTAATAATGTGCTGTGCCTTGATTGTTAGCGCTATGAGCATACCTAGTGTTGAGTTTGACGCTATATAAATGGACACATTATTATTATTATTATTATTATTATTATTATTATTATAGTTTCTGATGAAGATGTTACTCATTTCAGTTTCGGCATTCTATGCTGAACACCACAATGTTTATCTCCCTAGGCGGGTACATCTGGACCAAGTCTAAGTTCCTGGGTCTGTCCATCGGTGTCCATATGATTGGTCAGGCCGTGGTGTCTGTTCTGGATTATGATGAAGAATACACACTCACCTTCCCCAATGGTTACGGCAGAATGCGACCACTCTAGCTAACAAGCTTGATATGGTTGACATGAAATAGGTTGGACTATTTTAAAGCGTTCCAGTGATTACACCACATGGGTACAATGTGTGAAGCCCATTTCTGGTGTCCCCGCCGTGATATTGCTGGAATATTGCTAAAAAGCGGCCAAAAACCACTCCAGTGATTACATGTGTCTTGACTTATTGCCTTGTATAACAATGTCCCAAATGTTGATGATTGATCTCTTGGTTAGGAACACTGAGGAACACATAGGTCCATAAATATATACACTGATAATACGCACAGGTAGATGAAGGTACCTGAAGATACACACAGGTAGATGAAGAGTAGATGAAGATACACACAAGATATACACACAGGTAGATGAAGGTACCTGAAGATACACACAGGTAGATGAAGGTACCTGAAGATACACACAGGTAGATGAAGGTACATGAAGATACACACAGGTAGATGAAGGTACATGAGGTACCTGAAGATACACACAGGTAGATGAAGGTACCTGAAGATACACACAGGTAGATGGAGGTACCTGAAGATACACACAGGTAGTAGATGAAGAAGTGCCTGAAGATACACACAGGTAGATGAAGATACACTACACACAGGTAGATGAAGGTACCTGAAGATACACACAGGTAGATGGAGATGTACCTGAAGATACACACAGGTAGATGAAGGTACACACAGGTGATGAAGATACACAGGTATGACACAGGTAGATGAAGGTACCTGAAGATACACACAGGTAGATAAGATTAAGGTAGATGAAGATACTGATGAGATACACACAGGTAGATGAAGGGTACCTGAAGATACATGAAGGTACACAGATAGATGAAGGTACCTGAAGATACACACAGGTAGTAGATGGTAAGGAAGATACTGAGGTACATGAAGGTAGATGAAGGTACCTGATGAGATACACACACAGGTAGATGAAGGTACTGAAGATACACACACAGTAGATGAAGGTACTGAAGAGATGAAGATACACACAGGTAGATGAAGGTACCTGAAGATACACACAGGTAGATGAAGGTACCTGAAGATACCACAGGAAGATGACACACACAGGTAGATGGAGTACCTGAAGATATACACACAGGTAGATGAAGGTACCTGAAGATACACACAGGTAGATGAAGGTACCTGAAGATACACACAGGTAGATGAAGGTACCTGAAGATACACACAGGTAGATGAAGGTACTGAAGATACACACAGGTAGATGAAGGTACCTGAAGATACACACAGGTAGATGAAGGTACCTGAAGATACACACAGGTAGATGAAGGTACCTGAAGATACACACAGGTAGATGAAGAAGATACACACAGGTAGATGAAGGTACTTGAAGATACACACAGGTAGATGAAGGTACCTGAAGATACACACAGGTAGATGAAGGTACCTGAAGATACACACAATGCTTCTGTTTCAGGTCGATCCTGACAGTGCCATGGGTGGAGCTGGGAGGGAAAGTACAGATTGCATGTGCCAAAACAGGATACAGCGCCACTGTGGAGTTCCATACAAAAGTAAGTGTTTGTTTTGCGTGTTATGTCAACTATTTTGTGAGTGAAATATGATTGACATGTAGCAGATAGTGCTGGTCCCTCAGTGTTGAAATGTTAAAAAATGTGTCACTATTTCTTGCAGCCATTCTATGGAGGGAAGAAACACCGAATAACAAGTAAGGTGTTCGAACCCAACGAGAAGCTCCCTTTCCTCACCGTGGAGGGAGAATGGAACGGAGTGATGTATGGCAAATATACCTCAGGGGTAAAGATTAATATCATATTTATTTTTGTAAACAATCGAGCCCATCACTTCTTGATAGGGATATGCCAGCTTTGCCATGATTTTGTGAATAATTGTGTCTGGTACTCCACCAGTCAAGTCCCCCAGTCATCTGGCATTCAGTTGCATAGATTGTAAATGAATCTATCTTTAGTTTTTAGGTTTGTCAGCAACCGATAGGTTGCCATGGTATTGCTGAAATATTGCTAACTCATCATAGAACGACATTCACTGTTTCTTGCTCTAAAAAATGAAAGTCAAGTTGTTTTGTATTTTACAGTGGGTAATGAGTTGGATATCTTTTTCAGCAAAATGAAACATTTGTAGACACAAAGACATTACCTAAGTTCAAGAAAATGACCAGCAAGTGAGACCGACTGACCAGCAAGAGGATTATGAGTCTCGAGGTCACACTCATGCATATAATACTCACCTTTATCTTACACACAGTCAGTGCCCTACACTCACATATTATACTCACCTTTATCTTACTCACCTTATCATTATACTCACCTTCATCATACTCACCTTTATCACACTCCACATATAATGTTCACCTTTATCTTACTCACCTTTATCTTACTCACCTTCATCATACTCACCTTCATCACACTCATGCATATAATATCTCACCTTCATCATACTCACCTTTATCACAATCACCTTCATTATGCTTGCCTTCATCATGCTTGCCTTTATCACACTCCATGCATATAATTCTCACCTATCATACTCACCTTTATCATTAAGCTTGCCTTCATCATGCTTGCCTGTATCATACTCAGCATCATTATGCTCACCTTCATCATACTCGCATTCATCCCATTGCCTTTTAAGGACTTGCCCACTGGTCACATGTCTTTTATGGATATTACGTTCTTTTATGTAAACATCAGCACATCACTGGTTTATGAAATTATGTACTGTATGATGACATAGTTTGGAAATAATGTGAAGAAGTTGATGGTTAATCCATGATGTGTTGGTTGGTTGTGGAGAAACGTGAAGTATAATCTATAATGTGTTGTCGGTTTGTTGCAAGACGTGACATATCATCTGTGAAATGTTCTTGGTTATGGCGAGATGTGACGTATATGTGAAATGTTTTAGGTTATGCGAGATGTGACGTATATGTGAAATGTTTTAGGTTATGGTGAGATGCTGACATACGGTATGTGTGAAATTTTATAGGTTATGGTGAGATGTGATGTATATGTGAAATGTTATAGGTTACGTCAAGATGTGGACGTGTGTGAAATGTTTAGGTTATGGCGAGATGTGATGTATATGTGAATGTTTAGGTTATGGTGAGATGTGACATAACGGTATGTGTGTGAAATGTTATAGAAATATGGCGAGATGTGACATACGGTATGTGTGAAATGTTATAGGTTATGGCGAGATGTGACATACGGTATGTATGTGACATATTATAGGTTATGGCGAGATGTGGCGTGTATATGTGAAATGTTATAGGTTCGTCAAGATGTGACATTATGTGTGATATGTTCGATATAGTGAAATGTTTTAGGTTAGATGTAGTATGTATGTGTGATATGTTCTAGTTTTTGGCAAGATGTGACGATATGTGAAATGTTATAGGTTAAAGCGAGATGTGGCGTATATGTGAATGTTTAGGTTATGGCGAGATGTAGGCGTATATGTGAAATGTTTTAGGTTATGGCGAGATGTGAGTATGTGTGATATATTCTAGGTTTTGGCGAGATGTGGCGATATATGTGATATGTTCTAGGTTTTGGTTAAAATGTGACGTATATATGTGAAATGTTATAGGTTATGGATGAGATGTGAAATATTTTAGATGTGTGATATGTTCTAGGTTTTGGCGAGATGTGGCGTATATGTGTGAAATGTTTTAGGTTATGGCCGAGATGTAGCGTATGTGTGAAATGTTATAGGTTTTGGCAAGATGTGAGCGTATATGTGAAATGTTATAGGTTATGGCAAGATGTGACATATTATGTGATATGTTCTAGGTTTTGGCGAGATGTAAGCGTGATATATGTGAAATGTTATAGGTTATGGCGAGATGTAGACGTATGTGTGATATGTTCTAGGTTTTGGCGAGAGATGTGACGTATATGTGAAATGTTATAGGTTTTGGAGAGATGTGGCGTATATGTGAAATGTTTTAGGTTATGGCAAGATGTAGCATTATATGTGAAATGTTTAGGTTATGGCGAGATGTGACGATATATGAAATGTTTTAGGTTATGGCACGAGATGTGACGTATATGTGAAATGTTTTAGGTTATGGTGAGATGTGACGTATATGTGAAATGTTTTAGGTTATGGCGAGATGTGACGTATATGTGAAATGTTTAGGTTATGGCGAGATGTGACGTATATGTGAAATGTTTAGGTTATGGCGAGATGTGACATATATGTGAAATGTTTAGGTTATGGCGAGATGTGACGTATATGTGAAATGTTTTTAGGTTATGGCGAGATGTGACATATATGTGAAATGTTTTTAGGTTATGGCGAGATGTGGCGTATATGTGAAATGTTTTAGGTTTTGGAGAGATGTGACGTATATATGAAATGTTATAGGTTATGGAGAGATGCGAGATGTGACGGTTTAGGTATGTGAAATGTTTGTTTAGGTTATGGCGAGATGTGGCATTATATGTGAAATGTTTTTAGGTTATGGCGAGATGTGACATGTATGTCAAATGTTTAGGTTATGGCGAGATGTGACATACAACCTCAAGCACAAGAATGTGGAGAAGGCGACGGAGGGAAAGCAGTTCCTGGAACAGCGGCAGCGTGACGAGGCCAAAGACCGGAAGGAGAAGGGGGAGAGATGGGAAACCAAGGTAAACCCTGACCCTTGACCTCCTCCTTACACACCATCAGGGTAGTGAAGGGCTTGAGGTGTTCAGTTGCCCACGTGGGTATACAGGAAGTCCTTGCTATTGTTCTCATTGGTTACATTGCTGGAATAGTGCTGGAAGTAGTGGCAGAAGCTGAAGCTTCTTTATTAGTTAAGATTACTTGTATACAATGGTCAGTGTGTGAATTATCTAATGTAGGTAGAGAAAACCCCTTAATATTTTGACTTTAGCATTTCAAATTTGATTGTGTTTCAGTGCTTCCATGAGGTCGGTGAGCACTGGGTGTACGACCGGCCATTGCTGAAGAGAGATAATCCTTCACCGTCAGTGTGATGCTGACCTTTGTGATGAAGGCCACTGTATCAACAATGTTCCTGGGGGCTGAGGCTAAGGCAGCCACACAGACACAGACAGACAGACAGACACACACACAAATGATTAATTGATATAAACAATGTGATATGCATTGTCATTTTGATGACACTTATTGTCTGAATACACAAATGTTTTTTTTAGTTTTGCATCCTGCCTGTATGATCTTAGTGATGGTGATTGTTTATGCAGGGCATCTCAGTCAAAATAAGTTTTGAGAAACAAATGAAAGTTTATGTAGAAAATGATCAGGTTAGTGAAAGCATAATCATGATATTATCATCAGGGAAGAATGAGAAAAGTACAATGTGAATAGTGGAATTGACTGATTTATGTTGTGACTTGGAGAAGATGTTTATATGGCTTGTTGGTGCTTGCTAGACTGAAGTTGAGAGTCTTGAGACTTCTACTGCTGATGTCAACATTGTCAGTCTAGAGGATACTCTTTACCCTGGAGGGTTCTATGTCTGGTAACCTTTCTTACACCCTCTCTGTTCTTCCAGTGCCATCTATCATTTTGTCCCTTGTTGATTGCTCTTGTCAGGAAGTCCTTTTGATGATGGTATAGGCATGATTTGATAACACACTATTGTGGCAGATCAAATTTTCAGGCCTTTCATATGTTTACTCAGTGATCTGTCATATGAATGTAGGCTATGTGCAGTCTGAGATTTAAAACTACGAGACAGAAAACTCAGCAAGATTCATCAGCCCTGTCAACTTGTTTAACGACACCCATCGCATGTATCAGTATACACAGAGACCCGTTTGTTTTGCTGGTTTGCTTAACTGATCTCCTGACACCGCTACACCTGTACTAGTTGGCCTACTGGGCTTATCTACTCACTTGCCTACAGCTATACTAGTTGGCCTACTGGGCTTATCTACTCACTTGCCTACAGCTATACTAGTTGGCCTACTGGGCTTATCTACTCACTTGCCTACAGCTATACTAGTTGGCCTACTGGGTTATCTACTAACTTGCCTACAGCTATACTAGTTGGCCTACTGGGCTTATCTACTCACTTGCCTACAGCTATACTAGTTGGCCTACTGGGTTTATCTACTCACTTGCCTACAGCTATACTAGTTGGCCTACTGGGTTTATCTACTCACTTGCCTACAGCTATACTAGTTGGCCTACTGGGTTTATCTACTCACTTGCCTACAGCTATACTAGTTGGCCTACTGGGTTTATCTCTTGACATGTCTACAGCTATACTAGTTGGCCTACTGGGTTTATCTCTTGACATGTCTACAGCTATACATAGTTGGCCTACTGGGTTTATCTCTTGACATGCCTACAGCTATAGTAGTTGGCCTATTGAGTTTATCTCTTGACAGGCCCACAGCTTTACTAGTTGGCCTATTGAGTTTATATCTTGACGTGCCTACAGCTTTACTAGTTGGCCTATTCAGTTTATATCTTGACATGCCTACAGCTTTACTAGTTGGCCTATTGAGTTTATCTCTTGACATGCCTACAGCTATACTAGTTGGCCTACTGAGTTTATCTCTTGACAGGCCCACAGCTTTACTAGTTGGCCTATTGAGTTTATATCTTGACGTGCCTACAACTTTACTAGTTGGCCTATTGAGTTTATCTCTTGACATGCCTACAGCTTTACTAGTTGGCCTATTGAGTTTATCTATTGACAGGCCCACAGCTTTACTAGTTGGCCTATTCAGTTTATATCTTGACATGCCTACAGCTTTACTAGTTGGCCTATTGAGTTTATCTCTTGACATGCCTACAGCTATACTAGTTGGCCTATTGAGTTTATCTACTGACAGGCCCACAGCTTTACTAGTTGGCCTATTGAGTTTATATCTTTGCATGCCTACAGCTATAATGGTTGGCCTATTGAGTTTATCTCTTGACATGCCTACAGCTATACTAGTTGGCCTACTGAGTTTATCTCCACACAGACATAGCTATTTGGCTTACAGAGTTTACCTAAAGCTGTTTAGTTCCTGTAGTCCCCAGCACTGACCCTGACTATACAAGTGCTGTGGCTGCATCTGTCTTACTGAGACAGGCTTTCTGCAGATTTCTTTTTGTGATGTGTCAAACTGTATCTGGAGCAAACTGACTCGTGCTGGCCATATCTGTGAATCAAACTTAGGAATGTACAGACATCAATCACTTCTCAGGACATAGACAGCACACATTATTTACAATGTGTACATAAAATAATTTACATTTTGCCCCCATGGAATCAAAGCAACTTGAAGCAGATTTTTTTTTAAAGCATTAGAACTAAAATAACAATTTTCCCTCTGCGCTGTCCATCTTCACCTTATGTTAGGTTATATTAAAGATTTGTATTCGTTATAAGCCAGGTATTGTAGTCAGAATTTATCTCGTCATAGAACAGGTGTGGATGTATTACCTGATGTATAGTTAACGATCGTGACACCATGTTCAATACACAGATTTCAACAATATTGTATTTGCTATATTTTGCTGTATACTGCATCATACAGATCTACAAATTTCCTTTTATGTAACTGTCCTACCCACACCTGTAGTTACACTTGTCAAGATTGTGTTGTGTCAGACAGTAGATGATCCACTAGGATCTAGGCAGGTGTCGGTGTAGATCAGAGTGGACCACCCAGTCAGTACCTGTGTCTGTGTAGATCGGAGTGGACCACCCAGTCAGTACCTGTGTCGGTGTAGATCGGAGTGGACCACCCAGTCAGTACCTGTGTCAGTGTAGATCAGAGTGGACCACCCAGTCAGTACCTGTGTTGGTGTAGATCAGAGCGGACCACCCAGTCAGTACCCTGTGTAGATCAGAGTGGACCACTCAGTCAGTATCTGTGTTGGTGTAGATCAGAGTGGACCGCTCAGTCAGTACCTGTGTAGATCAGAGTGGACCACCCAGTCAGTATCTGTGTAGATCAGAGTGGACCACTCAGTCAGTACCTGTGTAGATCAGAGTGGACCACTCAGTCAGTATCTGTGTCGGTGTAGATTGGAGTGGACCACCCAGTCAATACCTGTGTCAGTGTAGATCAGAGTGGACCACCCAGTCAGTACCTGTCTAGGTGTAGATCGGAGTGGACCACTCAGTCAGTACCTGTGTCAGTGTAGATCGGGGTGGACCACCAACGTGTGTACTAATTTATGTATTATTATCATATATGAGTGTAAAATATAAATATTTCACATAAAACCAAAATGTCATTTTTGTGACAAGTTATCATTAAGACAACATGTTTGTAGAAACTATTGTAGTGTGATGGATGTTGTGACCATGTGGTGTGATGGATGTTTGACACCATGTGGTGTGATGGATGTTTGACACCATGTGGTGTGACGGATGTTTGACACCATGTGGTGTGACGGATGTTTGACACCATGTGGTGTTACGTATGTTTGACACCATGTGGTGTGACGGATGTTTGACACCATGTGGTGTGACGTATGTTTGACACCATGTGGTGTGATGGATGTTTGACACCATGTGGTGTGATCGATGTTTGATGTTTGACGGATGTTTGACATGTGGTGTGACGTATGTTTGACACCATGTGGTGTGATGTATGTTTGACACCATGTGGTGTGACGTATTTTTGACACCATGTGGTGTGATGGATGTTTGACACCCTGTGGTGTGATGGATGTTTGACACCATGTGGTATGCATGTTTGACACCATGTGCTGTGATGTGTGTTTGACATTGTTTCCTGTGATGTATGTATGAGACTATGTGATAAGCTGTGATGTTGTTTGACATCATGTTCTATGGTGTATATTTGACATCATGACGTGTTTAGTATAGGATTTAGTTGACATCTAACAGCATGTTTCTGGGTGAGCTGTAAAACTAACATCAGACACTCCCACTACGCCATCTGCCCATCTTACTGATAGACATTCAGCAAGTAGAAATATTTTTAGTTAAATAGTTTGTGTTATAATTTCCCATTTGCAGGCAACACTTCATAGTGACAGAAGGACCAAGTTCTTGAATGTCCCAGATACACAGGTGTATAAGATGGGCAATTATATGTGTATGTTTGTGTCAGTGGGCACGTTGCTGTCATGTTTGATAACAAAGTTATACATTGTACTTGCAGGATATAAGGAAAGTCAGTGATTGATTGATATCTCAAGACTGCATCAGTATCAATGTACACATCGGAGGAATATTGTTGCCAAAAAGAATTTTTATGCATTATATAAATATGTTGTCAACATGATACTCATGTATTACCTTGTCAAGTTACAGCAATTATGAAATATGTTACAATTAGCTTCCATGCCATGTTCCAGTGTATTCCCTCTCTTAACACAGATCATCCTCGATAATCTCCAGGGTATACGTTATGATAAATCTCCTGTATACCCTGGATGCATCTACGGCTTGACCTCATGATTTTATTACCACCCTTGGCTGGCTTTTTATCCAATCAGGTGTCTACGCTGGGAGTTGAGCGTAACAATCACAACTCACTTTCGCTTCTTTTATCCAACCGATTAAACTTGGCAACATAATTGTAGCAGAGGTACTCTGAAAGAGGTAGAAAGAGTTCTTGCATATATTTTTTAAGGTTTCAGACCTGTCAATTTGTCTGTATGATTTCCCCCAAAAGTCGCACTGTGGACAGACCTTCGCGGCTGCGACCGCTATCTTTGTTGACACTGGCAGTCTCTGTTGTAACGACAGCTTAACTGATTGGCTACTGTGAGAATGTGGAGCCAGCAAAGGGAGGTAATAAAATTATCGGGCTGAGCCATAGATGCATCCAGGGTACCAGTGGAGATTTATCAGAACATATACCCTGCAGATTATCGAGGTTGAACACAGATAGACAATCCAGATATGTAGGATATAAATGATATTTTACAGGTGTAAATGGAATGGTTGGAACTTGGAATACCCAAGTTTAATGTCATCACTAAAAAATACAGGTCAGATCAAGTGAAAGCATCTATTGTGTCCTTGGAAAGCAACAATCTGGCACCTGTGGGGCCCGTACGCAAATTACAAATGCTTTCTATGTTCCCTATTTTGGCTTAATCAGCACAGTGCCAGAAACTCCTGATTCCAGCGGCCATGTCTGAACAGTCATTCTACTTCATCATTGTGATGCAGGTGGAGATGGTTTGAAATCCACAGCCATTATTGATAGTTGTGTAATAAGCGTCTTGTTTCTCAACCGACCTAAGTGCCTAATTGTACCCCTGAAAACAGAATGGAAAAAGTCACAAATATGTTTATGTGGAATTATCTGACAATAATCAATTTATTTAAAGGCATAAAAACAGTGACAATATTCAAGTTCAAATTCTGGAACTTGAACCAAAAATAGGCATTAACAGTGAAAAATGTTTTATGGTTCATATGGTTGATGAGAAACAGACATTATTGTGACCTAATTACTATATTCAGTGTGAATGGCTTGAGATTGCAACGTTGTACAAAGTGTGAATTTATGAGTGTGTCCAGTGAGTGAGTGAGTGACACATTGGCTGTGATATTGTTTTATTTCTCCTGTGTATACTCCAGCAGGTACACACTATCGGGGAACAAATGTCAAAACATAATAAATTATCAGCTGTTTACTGGGTTTTGTTGTGTGTACAATGGATGGCAAGTGCCATTTAAGCATGGTTCCAGCCTAGTTGTTGCTATTCATTCATTGTCAGCTTAGTCTGGTGTTGAATAATTCCAGATTGAAAATCACTGATTTCACTGGGTGGCCCGTATTTATCTTCACCAGTGCCAGTATTCGGTTTTGGTCAGGAATCCTTCACATCTAATGATTACTACTCCCATAACTGGATGTAACTGGTCATGGGAGGAGTGCTTTTGTTTTATGTATTGTAGTCAGTCGGTAATAGAGAAATGGGCTGTTAACGTTTCAGTGTACACTGGCAGACTCTTCTGCCAAATTGATCCTTAGACTCCTTGAATAAAACATGGAACAGATGATAATAATAAATGAAAGGAGGATATAGCAGTTTCAGCTACCAGTACATTCCAACCAAATCTGTGATGACAAGATACACAAGCATCAACATCCCACTGTATGGGCAGATGCTGTACCCACTAGACGATGATATGATACTGGTTGATACCCAGCCTGGCATTCTTGGACACCGTATCCTAAAACAGGACTGATCCAATCAAGTTCTTATCAGATCCAAGGATCCATAATTCCAGGTCCTCACATGGCTGGTACATCAGTCTTATCAACCACCCCCCACGCTCAGTTCAACAATCTCCATGGTAACATTCAATGATAACAAAGCCAGATTCACTGTTATGTTCTTTATTCATTACCTGAAGCATGAATATGCAATATGCAGTCATCAAACAAAGGCCAGCAGTAGCAGCACTCCCCAACAGTCATCGTGCCAGACAGCACACGTTTAACACGGACTACCATTACAAACTTCCAAATAGTTCCTGTTTTCAGTCATTTAATTCAATATATTTAGAGCCCAGCTTCCACAATAAATCTGACAAAACCCAAATTCAATTTAAAATTTAAAACTCAATTTATGCTTGCGGTATTACCATTTCATGTCCCTGATCCATGTGTATTGAAGAAGGAAAGAAGTTGTTAGAGACCTCCCTGACTTTCATCTCAACCATCCGTGAGATGCTGAGTCCAACAGCCGGATTCAAAGGAAAGTTTAAAGATAGTTCTTCTCTATATTTTGTAAGAAATGCAATACGGTAGGGCTGATAAACACATTGGCATCCCTACCACTACTGTCATGAGAGTGCTGGGCCCGTAAATACATTGAATAGTGTAAATCATTTCAATGGTAACTAAATAAAATGCAATTGCACAAATATTTTGATATATCTTGGACATAATGTAAATACCACTGATTAACCAAAGCTAAACAGAGTGGGAATGTGGGCACAGCAGCGGAATCACCTGTATCAGAAATACAGATAGTGGATACAGAAGCATTCCTTTTGTTATGAGTACTAACCCTACACTTAATTAATACTCACGAGTGTAGCTGACAATACTGCACCCGAGTTTTTTCCAACCGATACAAAACTAGTTTCACTGCCCATGATTCATTTTACTGTACCACTTCCCTGTGAGCAGGCTAAGCTCTGTATAATGCAAGAGATTCATCTATCAGCAATTGAGATTTATCTGCCAACCACTCAAGAGATAACAAGTTCATTCTTCCTTCCTGAATAGGACATGGCAGCAACAGTGATATGCAACCCTTCACTGTGGTAAATGAGATCTGTCAACACTGGCCAGCACTTCAATGCAATTAACATTTTTGTTAAATTTTTCTTTCTTAAAGAAGTACAAAATTTTTGCTAGATGTATTTTTAATATATCTCCGTATGGCCATTAAACTGCCTCTGAAGTCATGTATTAACAAGAGCATGTTCGTTGTAGTGTAAACTACGGATGATAGGTGGGAGTTATCTCCCTTTAATGTTTTGATCTCGCTGCAACTGGTCGTGGCTCATGGAAAGAATGTTCTTGATCCCCCGATAATAAACAATATCAAATTGTAAACATGATTAACGAATAATGTACATGTTTTTAAGCTCAGTAAAGCGACTATTCTAGGAAATTATTTACACAGTGGAAAATTGGAGTTTACGGGAAAATAAGTTAAGAGCATCAAAGCATATCTATGAATGCTAGTAAGAAGCAGTAATGAATGAATAATGAACATGTCTGCCTGTCAAAATGAAAACTTAATGAGAACTTGTCCGAAAGAAAAAAAGCAATACTTCTTTGGTGCTGCTAAAAGGAAATATATTGAACAATGCTAAATGATAAAAAAGTACAGACTATATTTAAAAAAAAGAAACATGTCAAAAATAAGTCTGATTTCAGAATAGATGTCAACATAATTGACAGACATCTTGGAAGTATGGAAAGTTTTGTAGCACAGAAAAGGTGTATGCAAACGTTCGCTCATACATAAATGTACAATGTAAAGGTGTTAGCACATTTGGATCTACCTATGACTGGCTTCAGCTACACACTAAAATATATATATACACATGTTCACTAAGCCCATCAACGGCACTAGACAAAATGTCAAACAGTCACTAGAACCTGGGTCAGATTGGCGCACACATCACTCCAAGTTTTCAATACAATGGAAAACGTAAGGTTAGTACATCAAACATGAAAATGGATCATTTCCAAAGCGACAGATCAGATCTGTGCATGGTGATCAGACACCTCCAGTTAAATGACAAACACGGAGACAAAGTTTTACTTGTATCTGTGCAGACCTTCTATTCCGTTTCTAATTAGGTTATCAATCAAGTACACATTACAAGAATTCAATGTCCTCGTTCTAATGGGACAGAATTTTTTAATTTTTTCATCTGACATGCTGTGGACTTTCAGAGAAAGAAATTACGTAAAGAGTTTTATTCTAATCTTAATTGCTATGGCTCTTTGTTGTGAGCAATGGATTGTAATCAAGCAGGACAACGCTTCAGTATATTTCGAATTTGTTCAGAGACAAGAGCAAAGTATCAAATAATACACCAAACATGTACCTCATAAGTATTAAACATTTCAATAATTATTTCAATTATACAATGTATTTTTAACAATCTAGAATAATCAGATTATAACTATTACAGAGATGTATGAAGAAACAGCATCTTGTTCTTTCAGACTGTGACAAAGGGTAACTTATCAAATCAAAACCTTCACTGAGGCAGACTGTAAACCCAGCAACAGAATCACAACTTCAGACATAATCCACTTCTATGTATGTAACGTCAGCATTGCACGGGATTCACAACCTTGGACAGAAAGAATCTAGTAAATCACAACCTCACAACACGTAGGTTCCCACTCACAATAGTGTGCTACCAACAAACTGGGTCTAGAAGGGGTCTAGAAGGGGTCTAGAAGGTGTCTAGAAGGGGTCTTGCAGGGGTTAAAAGCTACTCAGCAGATTGCATTGGTTCTGGACAATGTAACACACCACCCAATGATGTATTGTCCTCTTGATCAATGCTTTTGTCCTAAGCTAGTGTATTAGATACAACTAGTGTGCAGAGTGCTCGTTCATCTCAATCTTGGGGTTTGGTAGGAACGGGACAATAAGAAACCAAATACACAGTGGTATATTTGTTCACACAATGACTGCAGCTGTACCATCGTGACGACTTCCTGGTTTGTACACTGCATTCCCCCATCACATGTAATACATCAGGTCACTTTGTGTGCTCACTTTGTGTGGTCGCTGCCTGTGAGTGAGTGACAAGTGAGTATGGTTTTACGCCGCTTTTAGCAATATTCCAGCAATATCACGGCAGGGTCCCTACCTGTAGTCAATCAATGTAACCACAGGCTAGTTCCAGCAAGCAGGACACCAGCAAGTCCTCGGACCAGAAAGTGATCAAAATTATATACAGTTAGACCCCAGATACCCGAACCCCGAATATCCGGAAACCTTTGCCTTCTGGTCAATTTTCATAAATAACCAATCTCTTACGTTATAAAAGTGACTGTCTACAACGGATATGCAGTTTCCGTTCCCGGACGGTAAATTTTACAAACCAACCGGGTAAATCAACACAAACTTGACTCACGTATCCGCACGAAGCTTTGATCTTCCACTGACCGTGTGAAGTGAACCGCGAGTGTCCCACGTGTTTTGACACAAGACAAGGTCTGCTAATCCGGATTAATGACCGACCACCAGGGTATTGGTGGTGATTAGTAGGCCTATCTGGCACAGAGTGAATTGTAATTGGCAAATCAAAACGACCATTCTGTTTTGGAAGTGATTTTAAACCAGACGTGTATATTCAACACCTTAGCCTGGAAGACAGAAATCCAGATATCCGGATATCTGTTATCCAGACGATTTACGCAAAAACGAATGTGTCCGGATATCCGGGGTCTCACTGTATATCTGATGGCAGCATGAGCCATGGCCTTAGAGTCACTGTATCAGGCGTTATGGTTTGCACAAAATATCAAACGAGTTGAGCTCATGTGAGTTCTGTGGCCTGTGATACCATGCTTTAAGTAGACACACTTCACTACTATGCATAGCAGCTGTATTTAGGTGATAGTGAGTGAGTGAGTGAGTATGGTTTAACACCGCTTTTAGCAATATTCCAGCAATATCACGGCAGGGGACACCAGAAATGTTTTCAAGTGATAGAAGAGTGCCATGTTTACACACCGGAGAAGGACTGACGATGCACTTGTACTAATGAAAGACAAAAATGTGACAGTAATGGCATGAAGAATGATACAGGTCCTGTATCCAAACACTCATCACAGTAAACAGGCAATAACACAGACAACCTCCATAGGAAGCCCATAGTGTAAGAGTCGCACAGAATGGCACAAAATGATCATTCAAAAATTAACTTCGAACCACTGGAGCAAAATGTTTTAGCAAATCATAAGATAAGAAAAACCTCTTAGGAAAAATAGCCTCATTGAATCATTATTTGTTATTTCTGACATAATGAATGGCAATGGTTAATTTCATGCATTATATTCAGCAATCAATACTTGGCTGTGTCACTAGTGCAAAAATAAATTAGCGTCTAAAGCAGGAATATATCCCTCTGATACATTTGTAAATACCCTTTTGCAATGGTAATATACAGTAAATGCTTTTTGCATACAAAGATATTATGAACTTAACTCAATGACCAATTTGGTGCTGGTGAAGTGAATTTCTCAGACACACGCTCATGCAACCTCGAGCAGTTGATGCAGACAACTGCTAATATACCGTAAATAGTGAGATAATACACTCTGCTGATCTAATGTTACGTTTTGATTACCAATATTTGAAAACTGGATATGATACCATGAGCTGTGTATGTACATATGACTATAATGGATGCATATGAGTTGATGGATGTATGAACAGGCTGTTGGATGATGTATTGATGACAATTCCATTGCATAGGGATGCCAACACTGAGTTTATCCACCATCACCTATATCCCTGGGCACCATCAGTAGGACCGTATGTCTGCATACCATCAGTAGGACTGTATCCGAGGACACCATCAGTAGGGCTATATCCGAGGACACCATCAGTAGGATTGCATCCCTGGACACCATCAGTAGGACTGTATCCGAGGACACCATCAGTAGGATTGCATCCCTGGACACCATTGGTAGGACTGTATCCGAGGACACCATCAGTAGGATTGCATCCCTGGACACCATTGGTAGGACTGTATCCGAGGACACCATCAGTAGGACTGTATCCGAGGACACCATCAGTAGGACTGTATCCGAGGACACCATCAGTAGGATTGCATCCCTGGACACCATCAGTAGGACTGTATCCGAGGACACCATCAGTAGGACTGTATCCGAGGACACCATCAGTAGGATTGCATCCCTGGACACCATTGGTAGGACTGTATCCGAGGACACCATTGGTAGGACTGTATCCGAGGACACCATCAGTAGGACTGTATCCGAGGACACCATCAGTAGGGCTGTATCCGAGGACACCATCAGTAGGACTGTATCCTTGGACACAGACAATACAGAATCACAAGGTTCAGACGCCTAGTGTCCACTATAACAGGTTCCACATTCACAAGGTTTCACAGTATGTCACACTGCATCACAACCTTAGTATGCACTCACAACAGAGTACAGTATAGCCCTTGCTGATGGCAGCTCCAGACATACATGTAATACTTCTATCAGTTAATAAACTTTGTATGACACATCATATAAGCAGTGAATGCATAATCTGGGAAATATACTACCTGTTGTCTCTGAACATACTACTTTCCTAACATCTGCAAATTAACCATTGGCAAATAAACAAATTTGACATAGGTAACTTATATAACAACCTTTCAGAAGATGCAAATGAATTCAACAATCTTTAAAAGTCAACACAATTAAAAATATCTTAACTCTTAAGTTCATATCAGAAAATACAATCAATAAACAACTTGTTAAAATATCCTGATGGTGTACAACATATATATAAATCTGAGCAAAAGTAATATCTCCATTACATAACACTGACTAAAGCTTTCATGGTTTGTAAAATTGAAAATGACAATTTGAGATACTAAAACATCACAAGCATTTGCTTTGAGCTATGGAATGCTGGGATGGTGGTTATTGTAACCGTGGAATGTTGCTATGATTGATCAACGGTTGCTATGGCTACTCTTGGCTGTCAAGGTATTCCATGATGAGTTGGTAGCAGAACTGGAACTGTTCCTGTAAAAGAACCAATGACACTGAGTGAAATGTTCTTTGTATATGCTTCAACATAACAATATTAATACATACCTGTTCCTGTTGTGAGTGAGTGAGTCAGTTTAGTTTTATGCCGCACTCAGCAATATTCTAGCTATATGGAGGACGTCTGTAAATAATCGAGTCTGGGCCAGACAATCCAGTGATCAACAGCATGAGCATCGATCTGCGCAATTGGGAACCGATGACATGTGTCAACCAAGTCAGCGAGCCTGACCACCCGATCCCATTAGTCGCCTCTTATGTTCCTGTTGTGAGTGAGTGAGGGTTACTTCATGTCACAGTCATCAATATTCCCGCACTAAAGTACTGTCGGAAATAGAAAAAAAACTGTTTTTAGGCTCTTACTCTGTATCCCTAAAATTTACACAACTGCAAATAGCATATGTCGAAATAACCCACTTCAGCATTCAGTGGGATGCATAATAGAATATCCAGAAAAGCATGTTTACTCGTAAAATCGGGCAAAACTTAGAAAAAATATGAATAGCTGCTGAAAACAATAGATCAGACTATAGATGGCAATTTGGTCGCTCAGCAAGGTATGACGACGGACCGTCGACTCACCTGGCATGAAATGCACATGCTGCCCAGAGCACTTGGGGTCATCTCAAAGATATTTTGTGCTTTTTCATGTGTGTTGACTATGCCTCATCTATTGATTAACAGCTTAAGTGTCTTTCTTTCATAAAGTTTATGTTGAGATATGTAAAAGAGTTTGATACCTGATAACCATAGAAACTCATCGTATTAAATGTCTCAAAATATATAGGTGGCATGACCAGCCGATCGCGAAGATCGACAGGACTGGATATTATTTGTAAATTGTTATGACATGCAGTGTACTTCCCCAGTATAATTGCCCTAAAGGATTATCGTGTCTTAGCTGATATCCCTATCCCCAAGCCCGACCCCAACGATCGTCTGCGACACCCGTCCAGGTTTTGGTTTTGAGACGAACCCTCCTATCTGTTTCTTTTTATAGTGACAATGAGACTCCATGGTAGCTACATCCTTAATAGTTTCAGCATGAAAGTTATTATTTTTTACGCCAGCTATCGTTTATAATGAAGCTACGTCTAATTTCAAATTGGTCACTTAAAAAGTGTCCTTTATAATACAATATCGTCGCACACTAATTTGCATACAGCCATGGTCTGTTCCAAATAATTTGTTTTGCATTGCTCATTTCTGCACTAATCTCTCCTCAGTAAAGACCTTTTTCTACGTTTCTTGTGTCCCTACCATTGAGACTGTAGTTAGGCCAAACTTAGTTTAAGAGATATTTCACACTTGCACATATCAACTACATAAATTGTAGAGATAAATGAGAAAATACCCTTTTTTTCTATTTCCGACAGTACTTTAGTGCTGTGGTTGGGAGTGATGAAGCCTTGAGCGAGTGAGCGAGTTTAGTTTTACGCCGCACTCAACAATATTCCAGCTGTATGGTGGTGGTCTGTAAATAATTGAGTCTGGACCAGACAATCCAGTGATCAACAGCATAATCATCGATCTGCGCAATTGGGAACCAATGACATGTGTCAACCAAGTCAGTGAGTCTGACCACCTGATCCCATTAGTCGCCTCTTACAACAAGCATGGGCTAGTTGGTGAGTCAATAATAAAGATTAGATTTTATGGGTAACAACTCCTTGTTTATTGTATAAAGTGACATTTCAGTGTAGATTCTTAAACCGTTATCAAGCTAAAAGAATCTACACCAAAATGTCGCTCAATGCAATACATAAGAAGTTGTTATCCATAAAGTCGAATGATTCATAAATTCTGGACTAGACACCTCACCACCACTGACAGCATGAACAACAATTCCATCACTGGCCTATTTCCAACCATTGTGCCCTGGCAATGATTCCCAACCCAAAGTAGTTCCCTATGACACTAAGAAGACAATTCGGACATGGTACCAAATGGTGTGGAAAAGAACCCATATTTCAAGTGTGTGTTTTAAACACTTATCTCTAATTGTTTAATAGATTTTCGTTTTATCAATTATTTACCTTATGACATGATGTGACTTTCAGAAATGTTACAGCCATGACTGTGGAACGTGCATCCAGACTCTATGCATGTGAGTCTTCTGTGTTGATATTTGAGATGCTGGCCAATTCATAATCAATATGACATGGTTTTAAATGCAAAAGAGGCTAGTGTTTTACCCAGATATACTTCATATTTCTCAGTTATTGTTCCTCATCACAGTGATAATGCAGCCTCTGACTGCCAACTTACATAGTTCTCAATGAACTGTGGTCTGTTGATGCGGATCTGTTTGACGGTCTGGTACACATCCAACTCCTGGTCCAGGCTCAGTCTCTCCAGCACCAGACTTACGGCAGCAAACACCCCGCTCTTGCTGGCGCCATTCCTGGACAGTCAATAACAAATTGTCTGCTTGCTTCTTCAGGGTGAACAATTAAGCTCCTACAATAAGCAGCTGTCGTCTAACTTAATAGCAATACCATAATCTTCTTGGGAGAATGGGCGAACTTAGTTTTGTTATAGGCATTATGTGAACTATATTACGACAAATTAAATTTATCCCAACTTAATGATGAGTATGATGTGATGTAACACACTATCCATCAATACAACCAATCAAGGACAAGCTGCCACACTATCCATCAATACAACCAATCAAGGACAAGCTGTCACACTATCCATCAATACAACCAATCAAGGACAAGCTGCGACACTATCCATCAATACAACCAATCAGGGACAAGCTGCCACACTATCCATCAACAAAAGCAATCAGGGACAAGCTGTCAATCTGTTAGTGTATCCTGAACAATAACATCAAAATAACAAATTTCTCAAATCATGGAAAAACATATTGCTGTCGAATATCTAATCTTTGAAGTAGATAGATTAAAACATTTCTTCCTTGACAAATAGGAAGTTGAAGAAAATGTTGAGAAAAAGCTATGATCTTCACGAGTGAGTATGTTTGGTTCAACCATGCTCTGAAGAGTATTACAGTCATCTGATGCATGTCAGCATCAGCTGGGAGGTCTAAGATGTATACTACGTGGGTGAAACCCACAAAGAAAGGCAGGGTGCTGACCTGGAAACAATACCAGGGCGTACCAGGATTTGAACCAATGATCATGGGTTTCTGACATGCTCAAGGGAGACAACTCTGCACAGTGATAGCGATAGGCCTTAAGATGTGAAGGTGATTACTCACATGCAGTGTATTGTGACTGGGCCTTTGCCGTTCTGCTTGAGCCAGTCTGTGGTGAGTTTGTGCAGCCTTAGTAGAGCTGTCCGTGAGTTGGGCACTGTCTGGTAGTCTGGCCATGACTTGAACATGAACTGTTTCACTGCTCTCTCCTCACCCTGCAGCAGAACAGAACAGCATGACAATACAGAACAACATGACAGTGACAGAATGGAATGACAGTCACAGAACAGCATGACAAATACAGAATAGACTTACAGATATAAAATGGCATGACAGCCAGAACAGCATGACAGTAATGGAACTGCATGGCAGTGATAGAACAGCATGACAGAAATAGAACAACATGACAGTAATAGAACATGACAGCCAGAACAGCTTGACAGTAATAGAACAGCATGACAGTACTGGAACAGCATGACAGTGACAAAACAACATGACAGTGACAGAACAGCATGACAGTAATAGAGACAACATTACAGCCAGAACAGCATGACAGTACTGGAACAGCATGACAGTGACCTAAACAACATGACAGTGACAGAACAGCATGACAGTAATAGAGCAACATTACAGCCAGAACAGCATGACAGTGATAGAGCAACATGACAGTACTGGAACAGCATGACAGTGACAGAACAGCACGACAGTGACAGAACAGCATGACATTAATGGAACATCATGACAGCCAGAACAGCATGACAGTGATAGAACAGCATGACAGTGACAGAACAACATGACAGTGATGGAACTGCATGGCAGTGATAGAACAGCATGACAGTGACAGAACAGCATGACAGTACTGGAACAACATGACAGTGACAGAACAGCATGACAGTGCCAGAACAACATAACAGTAATGGAACTGCATGGCAGTGATAGAACAGCATGACAGTCAGAACAGCATGACAGTAATAGAACAGCATGACAGTACTGGAACAGCATGACAGTGACAGAACAGCATGACAGTGACAGAACAGCATGACATTAATGGAACATCATGACAGCCAGAACAGCGTGACAGAACAGCATGACAGTGATAGAAACAGCATGACAGTGACAGAACAACATGACAGTGATGGAACTGCATGGCAGTGATAGAACAGCATGACAGTAATGGTACAGCATGACAGTGACAGAACAGCATGACAGTGGCAGAACAGCATGACAGTGATAGAACAGCATGACAGCCAGAACAGCATGACAGTGACAGAACAGCATGACAGTGATAGAACAGCATGACAGTGATAGAACAGCATGACAGTAATGGTACAGCATTACAGCCAGAACAGCATGACAGTGACAGAACAGCATGACAGTGATAGAACAGCATGACAGCCAGAACAGCATGACAGTGACAGAACAGCATGACAGTGATAGAAAAGCATGACAGTAATGGAACTGCATGACAGTGACAGAACAGCATGACAGTGATAGAAAAGCATGACAGTAATGGAACTGCATGACAGTGACAGAACAGCATGACAGTGACAGAACAGCATGACAGTGACAGAACAGCATGACAGTACTGGAATAACATAACAGTAATGGAACAACATGACAGTAATGGAACAACATGACATCAACAGAACAGCATGACAGTACTGAAACAGCATGACAGTACTGAAACAGCATGACAAAGACTAGCTGGCTGGCACTACAGCATGAGAGTGAGGAACAACATGTGAGGCAAAACAAATGACAGAACAGCATGAAACAAACAGAGCAGTGCCAGAATAGAGACAGGACAATGTGATATATCAGAAGAATTTAGCATGAAGGACAAAATAACTGATCGTGTACATTTTCAAAATAGTACTACCTTGACAAGATGGCTGAGTTTGAAGATGCGGATGGTGACGTCAGGGTCAGCTTCAGAGGATGACAGCAGCTCCACGTTGAGGGGGCCATACTCTTCTGTATAGCCATATTCCTCCGGCCAGTACAAGGCACACGACTAAAACACAGAAACAGACATCTAAAGTAAGTAAATGACATAGGCCTGGGAGTAATGTCATTTTGAACAATATTACAGTTCTTCCACAGTGTTTCACTTCAATATGTTAGAAAAAGTGATATAGGCCCAAGACAGGGCTATCAGGTGAGGTGAGGTGAAATTGGGTTTAACGTCGTGCTTGAGAATATTACGCTCATATGACGACGTGCATGCGTGTGTATGTGTATGTGCGGCTGCTTGTACTAGCCCAGACTTAAGCTGGTTTTATAGTGCTAGCCCACTGAGATACCATGCCGCAGTGAAGCATGAATACCCCACTCAGACACAGTATACTGACTCCGAGACGACCAGTCCTTGTTGTACCCATTAATGCCGAGCCAGGCAGGGACCAACAAGTACCATATTTTAACGTCTTTTTGGTATGACGCCGGTCGGGATCGAACCCGCGACCTTCCGCTCTCTGGGGGCAGCTCCTGCTAACCACTACACCACGGAGGCGGGTCCGACAGACAGGGCTATGAGTGTGACACTGACATATAAGAATCCTCTGACCTCTGAGATATAACCTAGCACATGTACTGGTGGTTGTAAGACAAGCAGGCCACCCTACTTGGTGTCCGAGTAAGTATGGACTACCTACCTTGTCGTTCCTATCAAACTCATTGAGCATGATGATGGTATCAGAGGTATAGTCGTACAACATGCGCCAGAAGTCGGCCACAGTGTTGGGCAGCGGCATCTGAGTGACGATGAAGCGGTCCTTCTGTGTGCATCCCTACAAGAGTCCATAGATGTTAGTACACATGGACAAAAATACTTGACATGGATTTGTAGACTAGGACTCAGAAGGCATAAAATTCAAAGCTTCATCAACATGATAACAAAATGTGATTAAAAATGTCGAGATGCAATTAACATTCGAAAGTACCCATCACAAATATGGAACAATTTTAAACATTAGTTATTCGCTTATTCAAGTCAAACCTCTTGTCCCAAGAGGTAAACGTGATCACAAGACTTACTGGGGTAAAGACAAGGTTGAAAGATTTCATAAATGATTTCAAGATGAACTCAACTGGTCCAAATGTTTAAAAGATTGAGAAAGGACTGAAGAATGGATGGTTACAAAGCTCAGCTGTCTCTGACTAGTTAAAATGGTAACACATACACTGTTTAGCTTGAAGAGGGACATTCAACAAAGTAGTGTCTTGTTTTGAGAATGTTATAACAGACTGGAGGGGAAAACATTCAAATTGTAGGACTCATTAAACAAGTAGGTGATACCCCTTATGTATGATATACATAGTCATCAGTGACTACAGATGGTGACATAATGGCTTTAGAAGAGTGGTGTTAAAAGTGACATTCAGCAGTTTGGCAATGTCCACATGAATGTTAGTTGTGTTATTCACAAGCACTTTGTGCGTGAGATTCTGCAGAAATGTAGCAAGTGTTAGTTGTCAGCAGGAAGTCCATAACTGTCATGTAAAGCTTAGATGCATGGCAGCCATAGGATAGAAGCAATGCTTCAATTATACTTACAGGCATCACAGTTCAATGATGTAACACTAGCTTACAGGTGGTCATTGATGGTCATGTTCTTTTGCAGTAAAGATATAAATGTTAACCTGCAGTGTGATGATAATGATGGCCTTATGATGTTGATGTTAACTTGCTGTAAAGATATAAATGTTAACCTGCAGTGTGATGATAATGATGGCCTTATGATGTTGATGTTAACTTGCTGTAAAGATATAAATGTTAACCTGCAGTGTGATGATAATGATGGCCTTATGATGTTGATGTTAACTTGCTGTAAAGATATAAATGTTAACCTGCAGTGTGATGATAATGAAGGCCTTATGATGTTGATGTTAACTTGCTGTAAAGATATAAATGTTAACCTGCAGTGTGATGATAATGATGGCCTTATGATGTTGATGTTAACTTGCTGTAAAGATATAAATGTTAACCTGCAGTGTGATGATAATGATGGCCTTATGGATCACAGCGATGTTGATGTTAACTTGCTGTAAAGATATAAATGTTAACCTGCAGTGTGATGATAATGAAGGCCTTATGATGTTGATGTTAACTTGCTGTAAAGATATAAATGTTAACCTGCAGTGTGATGATAATGATGGCCTTATGATGTTGATGTTAACTTGCTGTTAAGATATAAATGTTAACCTTATTATGTTGATGTTAGCTTGCTGTAAAGATATAAATGTGATGATGAAATGAAGGCCTTATGATGTTGATGTTAACTTGCTGTAAAGATATAAATGTTAACCTGCAGTGGATGATGATAATGAAGGCCTTTATGTAATTTTTATTGAATAAAATTGATATTTTATACTTATCCTGACTCATGCTTATTTGCTTGTCTTCTTCTTCTTGCTAACTTATAGTGGAACACTTGTATCTCCTTATTGAAGCTCCTTCAATAAAAACGCTGTAAAGATATAAAATCACTAATCACTACTCACCAAGAGTTGTCCTTCTTCCTTCCGCTTAGTTACTCTGGAAACTGGCTTCACTGTTTCCCACATGCTTCACTCTCTCCTGAATACATGCTTCAGCCCGACACTTGAACTTACAGGGAAATCCAAAGTGTCTTGTGGGGAGGTTGGGAGGGCTTACCTCATGAGTCAGGATAAGTATAAAATATCAATTTTATTCAAAAATTACATATTTTTCCTTATCCTGACTCATGCTTATTTGCTTGTAGAATCCGATGGAACCAGGAGGTGGGAAAAAGGCACTTAGGATTTCATTAGTGAATTTTACGTCAAAATAAACCCCCCTACGGGAACTTCATAATGGCACTGTAATTATGCTAATTTCTGCTGCTGTCCACAAAAGAGTTCTTTAAGCTGCCAATTAATGGGGGGAACACAACAGTTAACTTTGGTCCTATTTGGTTAACATTTAAATGTGGATTTAGCGACTCCAAAGTGGAGAAATCGGACCCATAGTACTAGTAACTATATGTACTGGGTTTAACACTTATGCTAGTTCTGAAACGCATAGATACTGAAGCAAAACTCTATAGAGTGTAGGCTTGATCAGTCATGAGAAACACGGGCGCAGACAACGTCTCACCTTCTGTGGGGAACTGTCAACTGCTGTGCGACAACCAGAGGGCCGAAATGGTGAATGCCTGAGACGCCCCTCGGTGGCGATATCTCTCAGGTAGTGGTTAGCAAACACCATGTCCTATTTCCAGAAACATCCCTCCATGATCGTGATTCAGCGAAAGCAATTCCCATGTAGAGCGAAAGTGTTGATGCCAGTGCTCTAATTTCGTGAGGGTTAGAGGCTCTTGGAGGATCGAGTCCTGCAGCCTTGTAGGCTCGTAGTATGACAGTTCTTATCCAGATTGATATTGTTGTACGGGAGACTTCCGTCTGTGTCGCTGTTGACATCGGGACGAACAGTCGTTTGAATTTTCGTCTCATCAATCTGGATCGTCGTAGATAAATTCTTAGTGCTCTCACTGGACACAAAGATAGGTCAAGCGTATCTTATGGTCCGATTATGGAGGATAGTGCAGGGACGTGGAATTGTCTGTCCGGTTGACCTGGCAGTTGATTTTTGGCGATGAAAAACTCCCATCGTAGTCCCATGTGCACTATGTTTTGATTTACATCAATATCTTGTTCTCTCAAATCTAGCGCATGGATTTCCTCGACATCCTGGCTGCTGTTGCTAGGGCCAACAGGAATAGTGTTTTCTGTGTCAGAAATTCAATTGATGTCGCTTCTAGCGGTTCGTAAACGCCGCTAGTGAGATGTTTGAGAACAATATTGAGGTCCCATGCTGGAGCCTGAAATCTCTGTTTCTGATCCTCCAATTTATAAGAGCCGTAACAAGGCCAGTAACTCTGGAACCTTTGTTAATTTTGCACCCGTCCCTCATAGTTATCACTGAACTCAATGCTGCTAGGTATGTTGAGAGTGTAGATCCTTTCAGACGCTTGGTTTGTCGTAGGTGACAAACGTAGTCTGCCACTTGAGGATGTGTAGCTTTCTAGCTGTAAATCCTTTTTAAGTAGCGTAGGTCTCAAAACTAAGCCACTTGTCGCCATACAAGTTGCGTGTCGACCATGCGTAAAGCAAGCGTGACTGCTTTCACCGCTCTGGCTGAGTAACCTCTCTTGTTTAAGCATGCCTTAATACAGTCCACACGTGAAGTTGGAATGCCTCTGGGTATCTGTGCTTGTTTTGTGTGAGGATGTACTAGTAGATTCGACGCGCTCTGGTAGTTGTAGATTTGGTTGTCCGAGTTCTTTTATGAGAATGGGAAACCACGCTCGCTGGCCAGTAAGGCGACCAAAATCAGTTGGAGGCTCTTTGTCTGCCTGATTTTCTGTAATACCCTCGGTAGTAGCGCTTGGCGGAGGAAACGCTGCACGCGTTTAGGCCTTCCCAGGATATGCTGAGAGCGTCCGCTTGTCCACGCGTGGATCTGGGACTGGAGAGACGAATGTTGTTGGCTGATTGTTGAAGTGAGTGGCTTAATAGGTCTATTAACGGAGCTCCTATTTCCTTGATAATCTGTGAATATCTCTGGATGGAGCATCCACTCTGTCGGCGATGGTAGAGCTGGGCCGGGATAGTGCGTCTGCTAGGACATTCTTGGCTCCTGGAATGTGACATGCTTTTACATGGATGTTCAGATCGTCGATTAGGTCGAACAGTTGAAAGCAGAGATGTAGTAAGTTCAATGATCTTGTTGAGCCTTGCTTGTTTATATAAAAAGCGCCACTGTCGAGTTGTCTGTATGTGTACCATGAGATCGCATTCTGTAGAATGGAGCTCCAATGGAGTATGGCGTTGATGGCTGCTTTCATCTCTAGCATGTTGATATGTAGACATTTCTCCTCCTGGCTCCATATTCGGATGCTACATGGTTGTCCAGATGTGCTCCCCAACCTTGTAGTGACGCGTCCTACGTATAGATTGGTCTTGAATTCCGGCTCTGCTAAATAGGTGCCTTACGCAACATTCGACCTCCGGGTCCACCATAGTAGATGAGGTCTGGGTGATTCGGTAGACCCGAGAAGGGTTGTAAGTCATCGAGATGAGTATTGATGAGGACTTGTAATGGGCTGTAGCTGTAGTTTGTCACTGACTGTCAAGTCTTGAGTGGGCGGAGGAGACCCAACAGACTCTGCCACTGTACGTAGTGGGCACGGAGAGAGTAAGGCTTGAGGGATGGTCTGTTGGATCTTGAGCCATCAGTCCTCTGAATACGATGACCGCGATTCTGCGTCGTGAGAAATCTGATGCCTAGAAACTGTAGGTCCTGCATAGGTTGTAGATCCGACTTGAGTAGATTCACTAACCATCCTAGCTGATTGAGTAGATTGATGGTGAAATTCAGTTGTAGTTTGAGACGGCCTGGATCTTGATCTACTTGAATCCGGGCCGAGAGGTAGTAGAATGCATTAAGTAGCCCCCCGATGATGTAGATATGTGACTACGGGTTTACGTTATTCTTGTAAACAACCAGGGGCCGATGATATTCCAAATGGGAGGACCTTCCATTGGTAATGTAGACCGCCTAGTGCCAAAGATGGCAGGAGTTGACCACGGAGCTGTGTATAATGGCGCCTCGTAAATTGTTCACTCCAACTGCAGGAGGCGAGGGAGACCTTGACGACGCAGCCAGAGTTAATGCTGCGCGATGGATGAAAGGTGATCTGTCATGAACTGTTGGTCCTTCTTTGCATAAAGGGCCGAGGTAAATCATTCTGTATCTTCCTCCGCCGTGGAGTCTTGAAACTCATGGCGATGAG